ATATATGACCTAGACACTATTTTGTGAAGTTACAGTGCTGTAAAAGAGACGTGACAAGTTCAGGTTTTTAAGTGTAAATTTTCATAGATGGTCTTGATGGGTCCGTGTTCCATTTCCAACTACTTTAGCAGCCTGCATATTCCAACTACACCATAAAGGCATACCATTTCTTAAAGAAGACATCCCAGGGTATTTCAAAAGGCATATTTTGAACCTTAGCATGGGATCATTTTCCCGTTAGCTTGTACCAAGTCTAGTTATAATAAGCATTTTTTCTGCCTTTTTGACACACAAAGTGAGTTTGCACAGTATTTTTTGAAAACCTTATGTGTGCTACGGCTGTATAATACTTTATATGTTGCTCAGCTATGTTGTCTGAGTACAGCAATACCCTCCCCTCGTATGTACCTTTGCCAAGTATATGTGGACGTAGAAGGGGCACATTTGAGACACAGCCATTCCAGTTTTTTTCAAACTTGAAATTTTTCTGTTTTTTATTTCATAAGATTTTATTGTTTGTGAAAAAATGTTTTACAAACAGGTTTATAAGATTGCTTTTTGGTCAAAAACATTTCTTCATGCAATATTGTATCATTGTAGCATGTGAGAGAGTTTCACATTTCCAAAAATGTTATTCATAAGCCGTAATAATCAGTGATTATGAGAAGGTGTTTGCTAATAAAGTACAATTGTATGGTGAGTATAGGCGTAACCATTGGACTAGGCAGTAGATGAGTGCAGGGTTGGTGTGTGCCAGGGTGTTGGTGCAAGGAAGGTCTGAGAAGGGAGAGAACATAAATATAAAAAAAAATGGAAATAATAGGGAGGGGGCATGAGTACGGCCGGCATATGTGTGCCTCCGCTCTGCACCCCGCCAGCCCATGAGGTCCTCCCCGGCCCGATCTCTTGCGGGTTCGTGGAGTCTTCTCTTCATTTATCTAGTCGTTAACCATCAAGGTCATTGCACCAGTGCAGTTGGTGTGTCTGGATTCCTCCCTTGGCCATTAGGGTTGGTTTCTCATGTCCTCAACCCACTCGATCCAGTCCTTCCTGGGTGGGCTTATAGTCGTTAGCCATCGGAGCCAGTGAACCATATCTTCTGGTACCTCTGATTCCGTCCCCTAGCCGTCAGGATTAGTTCCTCTATGGACAGCATGTCTTCAACCCTCGTTATCCAATCTGTCATGGATGGGGTCATGGTTTTGTTCCAGAATGCTGGGATCAGGCTGCGTGCCACATTAATCAGGTACAGCGTAATTGTCTTTTTATAGGTAGCCAGTTGCAGGGGCGTCAGATGTAGCAGGTAGTTTTCCAGTGTAAGCTCGACCACGTTGTCCTTGAGCGTTGCGACCACCTGATGTATCTCCCTCCAGAAGGGTTGGATCTGGGTGCATGTCCACCAAATATGGTACAGTGTGCCCAGTTCAGTTCCGCATCTCCAGAACTCTGGTGCACTCGTGTTGTGCATAGTCGTGAGTTTCTCTGGAGTTTTGTACCAGTGTGATATAATTTTGGATCCTGATTCCTGGTATTTGGTGGTTATGGAGGTTTTGTGCGTCATCGAGAAGGCTGTGGTCCATTGGTCCTGAGTTATTGGGTGGCCAAGGTCTCTCTCCCAGTATCTGACAAAGTAAGGAAATTGTGTGTCTCCTTGTGGTGTGTTCAGCAGTCGGTACAGGAGTGAGATGGCGTGTGGTGTAGGTTCAGGCTGGGTGCATATATTCTCAAAGGAGGTTAGTGGTCATGTAGCTGATTGTAGGTTAGGAATTTACTTTAGTACACTTACTAGTTGGTGGTATCTGACTTTAGTCATCGAGTCTGGGGGCTTGGGTGTGGGTAGGTCCATTAGTAGGGGGATCTTCCCGTTCGCCAGGGTGTGTTGTAATCTGCATGGGATTGGTAAGCCCAGGCTGGTCAGAGTTTTATTACTGTTAACCATGTGGAACATTGGGTTGCCTGTGACATGGTACAAGGGAGATACTGTAGGAGCGAGGTCCGGTTTGTCTGATATCCTTTTCCAGACTGCCAGGGTGGCTGCTATTGTGAGGTGTCTCCGTTCGTGTCCCCTCGTCTTTTGTGGAGGTTGACATGGGAATGAGTGTAGTGTGAATGAAGCTGGCTTCTATGGCGATCCAGAGCTTATCTTCTGTTCCTAAGGACCATTCGGTGATGCGTTGGAGATGGATAGTTTGGGGATATTTAACTAGGCCTGGGAGTCAAAGACTGCCCTGTGTTTGGGTTTCGTGAGAATATCGTATTTTATCCTGGCTGTTCGGTTCTGCCAGACATATCTCATGAAGGCTTTGCGTACTTGGGCTAGAAAGGTCTGGTGGATGAGGATTGGAAGTTTTTGTAGCAGGTATTAGAAGTGTGGTAGAGCATTCATTTTAAGAACGTTTACTTGGCCCAGCCAGGTGATGTGCGGTACGTCCCATCATGGGTGTCCGCAGGAATTTTTCCAGGGGGGAGCATAATTGTAATGACATCCATGCTTGGTCCCTTTTTGACAGTGTCATAAAAGGGAAGGGGCATAGTCATTATCACAAAGCCCGGGTGAATAGCGTTTTCACAACTATGGTATATATGTTGGTTTTCCTGACACTATAGTGTTCCTGTAATCATATTAAAGGAACATTCTGGTCACAATAACAACTTCATCTAAATGAAAATGCTATGATGCCAGGAAACCCCTGGGTGCTCTCTTTCCTTTAAGGGGTAAAACCGCTCTCAAATGGTTTAACCCAAAAGGCTTCCTTCAGCTCCAGATCTCCAGGTCTATCAGTGGTATCTCCCCAGGTTAAGAAAAAAAGCGGCTAACTGACATGCTGGGAGGGCGGGCGGCTGGCGAGGGAGCACTTCCTCTGAGCTGACTGCTCAGCTCCCTCGCGCGCCGCAGAGTGAGACTGGGAGCCGGAAGATGACGTCATATTCCGGCTCCCAGCATCACTCTGCAGCGCGCGAGGGAGCTGAGCAGTCAGCTCAGAAGAAGAGCTCCCTCGCCAGCCGCCCGCACAGCAGCCAGCGTCGCCCAGCAGCCACTGGACCACCAGGGAGAGAGAGACCCCCCCCCAGCACTCCCAAAGGACTGTGTGTGTGACACTGTGTGTGTGTGTGTGTGTGTGTGTGTTTGTGTCTGACTGTGTTTGTGTATGTGTCTGACTGTGTGTGTTTGTGTCTGACTGTGTGTGTGTGTGTGTGTTTGTGTCTGACTGTGTGTGTGTTTGTGTCTGACTGTGTGTGTGTGTGTTTGTGACTGAGGTGTGTGTGTGTGTGTGTTTGTGTCTGACTGTGTGTGTGTTTGTGTCTGACTGTGTTTGTGTCTGACTGTGTTTGTCTGACTGTGTGTGTGTGTGTTTGTGTCTGACTGTGTGTGTGTGTTTGTGTCTGACTGTGTTTGTGTCTGTGTGTGTGTGTATTTGTGTCTGACTGTGTGTGTGTGTGTTTGTGTCTGACTGTGTGTGTGTGTGTGTGTGTGTGTCTGACTGTTTGTGTCTGTGTGTGTGTGTGTTTGTGTCTGACTGTGTGTGTGTTTGTGTCTGACTGTGTGTGTGTGTATTTAGAAGGTGGGGCGGGGGAAGGGTTGGGTGGGGGTGGCGCGGGGGGAGGGGGGCGCCTGAGTTTTGTCCTGCCTAGGGCAGCACAAAACCAGGATACACCACTGCCCCCATCCCTCACCTCCCTGATCTATAGGCTGCTCCCCATTCCTCACTTCCCTGATCTATAGGCTGACCCCCTATGCATCACTTCCCTGATCTATAGGCTGCCCCCCATGCCTCACTTCTCTGATCTGTAGGCTGCCCCCCCATGCCTCACTTCCCTGATCTATAGGCTGCCCCCCATCCCTCACATCACTGATATATAGGCTGCCCCCCTATGCCTCACTTCCCTGATCTATATGCTGCCCCCCATCCCTCACTTGCCTGATCTGTAGGTGGATCCCCCATTTCTAACTTACGTGATCTGTAGGTGGATCCCCCATCTCTCACTTCTCTCATCTATAGGCTGCCCCTCATCCCTCACTTCTCTGATCTATAGGCTGCCCCCCATCCCTCACTAAGGTGTTTTTAGAAAAAAAAACACTTTAGACTCTAAAGTTTTTTTTTATGTTTTTTTTCTAAAAACACCTTAGACACAACAGGGCAATCCCTAAATCCTTGGCTGTTGGTGGGTCTTGAGGTCTGGTTTGAGAACCACTGGATTAGGGGGTCTTCTATCAGCAACTCATTGAGTCTCCAGGTCCATTGTTTCTGGAAAGGAGTTGGTAAGGTGATTGTGATGATTACCCGGGGCATGGACTGACCAGGACATGGAGGCTATCATTGCTGAGAGGAGGTCATCTAAGTGACAGTGTCGGAGGAAGAAGTAGTTGATACGTGAGTAAGACTTTTTAGGTGGGGAGTAGAACCTGTAGTCTTTCTCCAAGTGGTGTAGGGCGCACAGACATTTGGAATTTGGGTAGAGTGTCTCTCATGCCTCTGAGTACGTGGCCTGGGAGGGTCGAGTGGCCCTTTGATGTGTCCAGTTTTGGTTCTAGTGGTGTGTTGAAATCTCCACTGAGGATTAGTCCAGGATTGCTAGAGTCCTCCTAATAAAGAGTATTTGTCACCTATTGGGGAGGTACAGATTGGCAAAGGTGAATCGTATGGCATGTATTGTGCCTTTCAGGAAGACGTATCTGCCACTGGGGTCTGAGAGTTCCTCTTCCAGTTGTAATGGAACATCAACTGAAAAAAGTATTACTGCCCTTTGGTTTTGAGTCCGGGTTGGTGGCGTGAAAGCTCAGCGGGAAGTGTTTGTTTGAGAATCTGGGTTATTTGTCTGTTTGGAAGTGTTTCTTGAAAGAACATGATGGATATGTGTAGGGCTTTCAATTCTGTCAGTGCTCTCGCTCGCTTCTGTGGAGAGTTAAGTCCCTTGGCATTGATCGTGTAGATTTTGAGGGCCGGTTGAGGTTGCCTTGGGTGTCCGGGAGGAGAACCAGGCCGTAGGGTCGCCATGATATGCAGACGGGCGTGCGGGGTGGGGCAGGTGCCATGTGCCCAAAGGGGGTAAGTGGGAGATAAATTGGGTGTAGAAAAGGTGGGTGTGGGGGATGATGGTTCACCCTCGCATACCCAGTGTTCACCGCTGGGGGCCGTGGGGGAGCGATGTATGTAGGGTCAGAATCTCAGTGCTAGCTAGGTAAGCTTTGATTGGTACTGGGGCAATTCAGGTCCCTGGTTTTGGGTGTGTGTTGTTTCTCCTTGCCCGTTTCCCTCTTCAAATTCGAGGTTGGAGGCTGTGGAGACAGCAGAAAGGGGTAGTCTGCCTCTGGGGTAGATGTGTCTCCACTGAGCTTGTCCAGTGATGTGGCAGTAAACCCGTGAGGGAGTGGGTGGATATTCTTTGCTCTCTGGCAAAGTTTGTAGGTTGGTTTGTTAGGTCAGGTGCCGGGGTCGTCCGAGCCCTGCTGCTAGAGCACGTACAATAGTTGGTGAAACCATTAGTTATAATGCAGGGAAATAGCGTTTACATCCAACATTTACATTCAACAAGTTACAACCGTTAGTATGACCAATTAACAAGTTATGATTTGTATTAACTTTTGGAGACAGAGACATTCTGCGGAGACCACCAGCAATAACATGTATACCGGCATTTGAGTTCCCCATTCCCACAGTAAGAGTCATTGGGGGTTGTGGGCCAAGTCGAGGCGTGAGGGATGTGCATCTTAGTAAGTACGAGAGGGGCGTCAGGGTGAGTATGGGAGAACAGACTCTTGGTTGTGATCATGTGGTTGGGCTTGTCAGTGGTGTGGGGGGCATTGTCGCGTCATGGGAACGTCTTCTGTCCAGTTTGTGCAATCTGTCGTGTTTTGTCGCAGGTGTCCGTGCCTTTTCAGGCATTGTGGCTGTGTCCGTGTTGTGTGAGTGGGGATATAGGTTTTCTTGCCGGCAGTGAGAAGGTCAGGTGTCATGTGTGGTAGGCAGCCTTAGTGGGGAGGAGGAGTCCCTCCCAGCTATAGGGTGTGCAAGTGTGTTGCCTGTTTATGCTGTCGCCAGTATCGGATTCTATGTGTTTGGTTCCTCCCTCCCACTTTCCCCCATCCTCCCTCCCCCTCCATGCCTCTGTCCCCCCTCCCCTTTTACCAGTGGTGAATTTGAGTGAGTCCTCAACAATGTGATCTGAGTATTATAGTATATCTGAATACAAGACATGGTAAGTATACGACACCAGATATTCAAGAGATAGTGCTACATGGCCTTTCGTTGAGGGCTGTGTGAGGTGATCGAGAAAGTCCTGGTGGCAACAGATTTGACAGTCCTGCGCCTTATTGCGGTTCCAAGTGGATTAGGGGAGATGCAAGAGTAAAAAAAAAAGGATTTTTTGCACACTGCCAAAGTTCCTCTGAGAGCAGAATTGTGGCCTCTATGTTATCCTTACGTGCTGTGAGTTCGAATGGAAAATGCCACCGGTACCTTATCTGGTGTTCTTGAAGCACAGCAGTGACCGGTCGGAGGGCCCGGCATGTTTGCAAGGTGAGGTGGGAGAGGTCATTATAGAGTTCCACGTTTTGGCATTTGTAGCGCCATGATCTCTCCATTTGTGCCCCCTTCATGATGTCCTCCTTTAGTTGGACATCCTGTATGCAGCATCCTGTGGTGGGGCCGTTGGTGGTGGTTTCAGGCGGACAGCGCGATGCGCTCTGTCTATGTACAAGCGTGCCTCAGGGGGTCTGTTCAGTATGAGGTTGAACAGCGGAATCGGTTTCTCTCTTAAGTTTTCTGGGCCTGTTGGTTCACGTAGCCCTATCACCCTGCTATTTTTCCTGCTGCTCCTCTTGTCTAGATCTTCAACATGGAGCTGCAGGTCTTTGAGCTGCCTGTCATGATTGTGAGTGGTCTGTAGTTCCGGGCCTGCAGATTCCAAAGCTGTCACCCATCCCTCTAGGTCTGTCAGGGATGTGCGCAGGGAGCCATCTCCGTCCGTAAGGTAGTTCTTACCTCCTGCACTATGGATTGGAGATCCTCCTTCTTTGGGAGCGAGGTGAACAGGGCATACCAGTCTGGTGTGGGACCTTCCCTATCTTGGGAACCGGCGTCAGTGAGCAGGCTGTCTTCCGACACTGTGGAGCCTGGAGTGGAGGGCGCCATGTTGGGGGCCTCGTGTTGTGAGGCGAGGATCCCCGGGGTATGCAGGTAGGTGCGGATGGACGTTGATCGTACCTCTCCCTGTGTCCTTGGTGTTGACGGGGTCATTTGTAGGTGCTTGGTACGGCCCATTTGGTCTCTGGGAATGTGGTGTGTAGCGTAATTTGGCTACAGGGCTCGGAGCTAAAGGTTTAAGCCTCCATTCCTGATCAGCACCAAGCCACGCCCCTCAAACTTTGAATTTTTACGCTGTGTCCATGTTCCATTTTGGAGTGTTGTGGCAGGCTACATATTCCAGCTACCCCATAAAGACATACCATTTCTTAAAGAAGACATCCCAGGGTATTCCAAAAGGCATATTTTGAACCTTAGTGTGGGATCATTTTTCTGCTAGCTTGTACCAAGTGTAGTGGTAATAATATTTTTTTCTGCCTTTTTGACACATGAAGTGAGTTTGCACAGTATTTTTTGGCTGTATAATACTTAGCTATGTCATCTGAGTACAGCAAAAACCCTCATATGTACCTTAGCCAGGTATATGTGGACGTAGAAGGGCCACATTTGAGACACAGCCATTCCAGTTTTTTTCAAACTTTTAATTCCATGGTCCGTTTTGGAGTAGTTTAGCTAGTTGGTTATTCAAACTACCCCACAAACGCATACCAGTATTTAAAGAATACACCCTGGAGTATTTCAAAAGACATATTTTTCATTTTAGCATAGGATAATTTTTTCACTAGTGTGTTCCAGGTGTAGTGCTAATATAGTAGTATGTTACTTTTTTTTACTTTTTACTTTTTTTTAAATCTTTTTTTTACTTATTAAATTGTTTAAACTTTTTTAAACTTTCTTTAAACTTTTTTACGCTATTAAAATTTTTATAAAATTTTTTTCTGTTAACCCCTAACTAACCTAACAGTAAATTCCCCAATTTCCCACTAACTCCCATCCACCCCAGCTAGCTAAATAAATAACTCCACAGACCATAATGTTTTACCTTTTGTTAGCTAAAACTGGGACATATTTAGATAGGTGCCCTCAAAGACAGTAGCTGTTTAAGAAGTGCTAGCTGATAGTTGGACTACAGATAGGTGCCTTTGAAGGTGCAAGCAGAGCACTATTTAGATGATCACTAGTTATACTCCAGCGTCCCCCCCCCCATCTTCATCCATGTATAGTGTGTGTGTGTGTGTGTATAGGGGTGTAGTGTTACACACAGTTACAGTCACACACAGTTACAGCCACACACACACATGCAGACAGTCACACACACAGGCAGACAGTCTAACACACACACAGGCAGACAGTCACACACACACACAGGCAGACAGTCTGAAACACACAGAGGAAGACAGTCACACACACACACAGGCAGTCTCACACACACAAAGTCTCACGCACACACAGTTACAGTTTCACACACAGGCAGACAGTCACACACACACAGTTACAGACATACACAGTTACAGAAACGCACAGTTAGTCATACACAGTTACAGTCATAGACACACACAGTTACAGACACACACACACACACAGTTACAGTTACACACAGTTACAGATACACACACAGTTACAGTCATACACAGTTACAGACACACACACACACACAGTTACAGTCATAAACAGTTACAGACACACATACCCAAATGGAAGGTTACCTCTCGCTATTATGGTCAGTAATTGTAAGTGAGAAGTGGAGGCAGTACAGCACCTGGAGTTGTTGGGGAAGCAGGTACTCCTTCCTGCTTCCCTTTTACTGTGCAGCACCAACACCGGCCTCTGGGCGCACTTAGCTCCGCCTCTGCTGTAATTTATAGCCCCGCCTCTGTGTAATCCCTGCCCACCGCTCGGTAAGCCCCGCCCACCCTCACATGTGTTTTGTGATAGTTGGCTACCCGGGTGGTGAAAAATGAAATCCTCCACCCGGGTAGCAGGTGCACACAGTTCACATCAGGCCGTGAGCTGTGTCGGCTGCCAGGGCGCCCCTGTTGCCATGGCGCTCTGTGCGGCCGCACAACTCGCACACCATTAAGGCCGGCCCTGCATACAATTGGCACACCATGACAATCAGTTTTAGATGCATAAAATTGACAGACCATGGCAATCAGTTTTAGAGGCATAAAATTGGCACACAATATTGGCAAACAATATTGTGTCTCTTGAGTATGAGTAATAGATTACATATTCTATCTATTAGCAATACATTTTTAACTTAAATATTATTAGAGTATTTAAATGCATTTCAGGGCATACAAGCAAATTCTTCAGCCAAAAATCGGTGTGACGCAAGAAACATCGCCACTGGTTTTTAGAGGGGCATGTTTGCCAGCCTCCTACCCTGGGACTATGGGCCCTGTGATAACCCATGTTCAAAAGTACTGTTTCTGCCCCTTGGACTTTTAACTGGAACAGATTTAAACATGTGGCGGCGGCCACCGTCAGCGGTGTTTTGTCGTCGAGTGTATGGAATTGTTTTGGGCATGGGACCATTGCACGGTGGAGCAAAAATAAGACTTCCAGGAAATTCCTGAACCCCTGAACCGATCTGGGTGATTTTTGGATATGTTGTATTTTGGGGTACTTTTTGGGGTTTGTAAAAATGTATGTTATTTCTGCTTAGAGTTAATTGAGTTAGTCCATTGTCTTTATTAATTATATCACAGGCAGAGGGGAGGGCTTGCTGACTGTATGTGGGAGTGTTACAGTAATAATTATTGTTCCCATTGGTTCATGTTCCTTGTGTCCCTGTGTTCCATCAGGTGCAGGGGGTGTTCCCCTGGCCTGAAACTCTGTATAAAAGAAATGCAAGTTGCTCAATAAATCAGACCTTCTAACTCTCAACTCGCAACCTCGTCTCGTGTTGTAGGGAATAGCTATAACTACTATATCACTGCTAGCTCTTGTAAGAACTGCCTTTAGCTATACAGATACACTCTCCTGGAGGAGAGGTCCTTCCCACACAGTCCAGGATCCAGAGGTTGGACCAGGGTGGGAAGGAGACGGCGAGACCCCAACCAGGCTACGGCGGTTCATGCAGCACTTATGGTGTCCGGTGCGGTGCTGATGGTCCTTGCAAAGCACTACGAGCATCCGTCAGCGGAGGTACCCAGCCAGTCTACAGGGAGCTCCGTCACAATCGGCAACTGGCAACTATACAGTTATACACCTCCCTCCATTTGAGCTATTGATACTAAGCAAAGCTGTGGACATACATGTGATACTAATGAGGATCTATGGTGGAGGAAAAAAGGACACTACTCTCGAACAAACCAGAAAAGAGAGATGTAAAACATAGAAGAAATGTTGGGGCGGGAGAGGGGAAGCAGTTTTCTTCACAAATGGCTAGTTAATCAATTTGACTTCACTTTAACGTTTTACTTATCCAAAACAACTGAATAATTCTAAATCTTTTTATAGGTCCAGTCTATGCTACAAAATGTATTATTTCATTTATTTATTTTTTCCTATTTGTCTTTGTGAAATATTTCAACACTGCCTGTAAAGCAGATCTTCTTACTCTTCCTGAAACAGACGGAAATGCAGTGTATCGTGTAAAATAATGTAACTATTAGTAATATCCTGCCTGTGTTCTTATGTAAACCCGAAGGAGAAGAACAGTTTGCTCCACAAACTCACTAGTAATTCAGGAAGTGAGGTATTTTCATCTTCTCATGTTTGAGAGTGAGGATATCACAATGACTGGAACAGTAAGTACCATCTATTTATTATTATAGAGTATGGATTGGAATGGGTAGGGGAAGTCCAGCGGCAGGCATACCAGGATGCTGTCATTATTCAACCTATGTAGGTATGACACTCAGAACCCTTAATGTAATTATTGAATGTATAACTACAGACCCTGGTTACTGTATATTAGTAGTGGACAATTCACATTTTGGAGAGTTATTAAAGGGTTTCACCATTGTCTTTGATCTGCTTCTTGTGCAGCCTGACTTTGGAAGGCATATTAGTGTCAGGGGTAGACAACTTCCAGCTCCTCAGATGTTGTAGACATCTACTTGATGCTTTGCCCGCATTATGGCTGTAAGAGCCTTATGGGAGATGTAGTCCATAACATCTGGAATGTCGAAATCTACCCCTTATCTAGGTATTCAATATATGAAATCTGACTTTGCTATTAAGATTATGCCATGTGACAATTTTATGCTCAAGATAAAATTGAGGAATCTTAGTATTTTTTGAGATTTAATAATAGAATAATAAACAAATTTTTATTTCAGCATAAAAACTGGTAGTGGCTCATGGAATCTCCCCACCTTGTATTCCTGTAAAAAATATTATTTTGTTTGGCAATTACCGGTTGTTTTATAAAACCCATCGTAAAATGTAAAATGCTGCAGAATATTTAGTTAATAAACTGTTAGAATGCTGATATTTACTTTGCATTTTAATATTCATACTATTATGAACTGTGTGTTATTACTAATTTAATCAATTTACTTTCATCAGTTATAGAGAAAGGTTTAATATTATAATAGGATTATTCACTAAAGCGAATTTCAAAATGTAGTGAACAATAGTCAAGAAAATTTTTCCAAAGCAGCAGAATTTTCGGTTTGGTTATTTTGGCTTAAAATTTGGAAATCACTTTAAATTGCTAACAAGTCTTAAAAAAAAGCAAGTACCCATTCCACATGAACGAGGTTTGTATGAGCTATTATACGAAAGTATAAAATTCACAAAATGAAAATATAATACACACATAATGTTATACACAGAGGATACTGAAACATATACATTTACACACAGAGGACACTGACACATACAGCGGACACTGGTACCCAGTTACACATAGAGGACACTGACACACAAGCATTTACATACAGATGACATTGACACAAAGTTTCACACAGAGGACATGGACACACACATGCCTACAGATGACACTGGCACACACACACATTTACACATGTAAGACACTGACATATACACACAGAGGGCACTGACATACACACACACACACACATTTAAACTCAGAGGACACTGATACACACATTTACACACTGAGGAAACTGACATACAAAAATTTACAACCAGAGGACACTGACAAACACACACATTTACAATTTAAATATGGAATACACTGACACACACACATTAACACACAAAGGGCACTGACACACACTCAATCACTCACACACTCTCACTGCTTTGACAAACACTGACAGACACACTTACTGACAAACACTCTTACTGACATGCATACTGATTTGACACACGCTGACAAACACACACACATTCATTGACAGACACACACATTCACTAACAGGCACACACGCACTGACAAAACCAAATTCAGAACTGCACTTAATCCAAACTATTTAATCCTGGGTGCAACCAAACCAGTAACCAGCACCAGGTCCCAATTATGGTAGGTATAAGAGAAAAAAGGTGCAGGCACTCCAGGGAATTGATTGATGAGACAAGATTTAATGAAACCCAACACAGCAACATTTGACCCTAAATGGTCTTTTTCAAGCTTTAAAAATACTGTTTAGGTCAAAACGTTGCTGGCTGTTTAAAAACTGTTTAAAAATCAGTCTGTAAATAAAACACATTGTTCTTGTTCTCAAGTACATTTTAGCTTCATAAATGGTTATTATTAAATCACCTAAAATTTCTCAAAATAACACTGCCCCTTCCACACCCTCATTCACACCCCTAAAATGAAAGTATCCCTTTTTGTCTGTTTGAAATGCCGGGAGGAAGGGCCAATTGCATGCAGATGTTGTTGGCTGCAGCATTACACTATTCTTCTACAGATGAAAACAGGCAACAGGCAGAATTTGTGTAGGAAAAAGGGTAAGGTCTCTAGCTTGTTTGTAGTGCAGGTAGGCAGCTTTAACAACCAAAACCAGAGTCTCTTCTTTCTTGTCATGGATGGTCAGGAAAATTCAATATAGGACAAAAAAAGTTAAATATGGTGTAGGATTTTAGATGTTTTTTTTTGGAGGGAGATAGTAATTAGTTGAATGGATTTACATCATATCATTTTTACAGCAACACAGTTTGCTGGCTCCTTGCTGGCTCCTAACATCATGCATTATTAAAGGGAAGAGGACCACAGAGATCCAGGAGCTTACTTTTTCTATTGTGGTCATATCAGTTCCATGTAAGTCTAGCTGGGCCATTAGCTATCTTACATGACACTAAACTCTCCTTGTTTTACAAAGACAAAGATAAATAAGTGTAAACTTGGAGATTTGATCTATCAAATTTACAAACTCCAAGCCAAGCTTGTAGCTGATTTTATTAAAGGACACAGAGGCTCATATTATGGTTATCTATTTCTTTTTTTCTCAGCAGCAAAGAAAGGATACTGTCATATTCATAGAAAAAAACCTTTAACATATACCCTCACAGGGTTAACACATAACAATACATCCAATAAGAATGCTTTCTGTATCATAAACCCCCATGTCACCTAAGCCACTACTCTTTCTTTGCTGCTTCCTCCTCAGCGAAGTCCAATTCAATTTCTCTCTGCCTTATACCAGTTATTTTGGTGTAATGTGTGTCTAATTTATATTTTTCTCCATACTGTTTATCATGTGCATTGTTCTCCCTTTGCTTGCTACTGTTTAGAATTGAGAGCACTGCTGGCTCTTGTGTGTTTTTCCCTTGGTCCTACTTTCCCTCCCTTACACCCCCTTACTCTACCTCGGTCGGGTTGTTTATAACCTGACGTTCTGGGGCAGTTAGCAGCCTCCCTTCCTGTACTTTCTTTCCCCATCCAAGTTTCCTCTCAATCCCGCCAGCTTGTGGCTCTTGCCGCGGCTGGCGCCGCTTGCGCATGCCCCCGTCGCAAGTGCACATAGCAAGTGCACATCGCGGTGACCATATTATGGTTGGTGATTTTGCTGCAGTTTGTTTCCTGGGCTTTTCGCTGGTTCTGGGGGCGGGTGTGTGCCGATTGGTCGGCTAAGAGATTGGGCAGCTCACCAGTGATCTCCAGGAACTATTCCTGAGGGAACATTTGGTGAGCTTTGCCTTTTTCAGATTGTCTTAGTAGTGTGTGTTTTAATTTGGTCAGGTAGCACCCCTGCTTAGCCTGTGTAATTACACTACACTATACTTCTGTTTCCCTGCAATTTGGCTATTGTTTTCTAGTACATATTTCTGTGCATTCTTTAACTAATATAGAGGCACAGAAGGATTTGGGAACTGCCACTAATGGTGCTTCTGGTGGTGCCACTACCCAGACCCCCTAGCCTGACTAATGCTGATGAAGCCTCACAGGAGCAATTGAACTCAGAAGAGCTTCATTCCCTCCTGGATGCTACTATGACTAAGTCGGTGACTCAAGCCATTTATTCGGCTATGGTAGGGGGGCCATGTCGGACACTTTGTCCAACTCTATCAATTATACCCTTATGTCCACCCAAAGGACCTCTACCCATATCATCCTAATCCCCCGGAGAACAAGCTGGTGACTGGCAGTGGGTGTAAAGCAGCCAAGAAATCCCGTCATTTAGACAAGGACACCTCCAGAATTATACGGTCTTACAGAGAATGTCCTTTCAAAGATGATGTGGTCGCACCACAACTAAGAGCCACCCACCGGGAAAAATCAGTGAGGAGTTTGAAAAGGACAAAAGCCCTAATAGAATCATCCGAATCAGAGTCGGAACAGGAGGAGGCATTGAGCTAGTCTAACGATGAAGACTCATATAACTCAGGTACATTTTTTCCTCTCCATGGGCCTTTTTCCATGTCTGGGGATGACCCTAAGAATGGTGTGGATTACTCCACCCTCCTTGATCCTCAGGGTGAACCACTTTTTGATCCGTATACCTGCAACATCCAAGATCTTCAGAGTGGTTCCCACTGGACCAAGTGGCGAAGTATATCGCTGCGCATATCAGGAAACTTCTTGATAAAGTGGCATGGAACAAACTGCAGGCAGAATGCCCACGGCCCACGATTCCAGACTTGACATGCGTCACACCAGACGTGGACCCTAATATCGCCCAATTTTTGGGTACATCTGGTTGGAAGGCCAAGAAAGGCCTAGATTTCTCCCTTCACAACTGCCAAGACAAAGTACTGGATGTCCTTGGACCCAGTGCAAAAATATTCAAAATTATTGAAACTGCCTTGGCGGTTGGTACTCCCGCAAACTTGCTGGCCATCAGGCGTTGGATCCAGCGATCCGTATATTTGATCGGTAATTCCAATATGGCATTAGCCACCGAGAGACGGAAGGTAATTCTTATCAAGATTAAACCCAAATTAGTTAGCTTGGCTATATCTGAACCTGGACCACAGGCAAAAGGTCTCCTTTTTGGGGACAGTTCGAGGCAGGCCTTGGCAATCCCCGTGGAGCCAGAGGTTCTTCATATGGTCCTTATGGTAAGATCACTTCCGTCCTCCCTTTCTTCCATAACGATTGTGATGGGCAGATTACACCATTTTGTCAATGCCTGGTGCATGTTAATGTCAGATTATTGGGTCCTACAAACTGTCCTGGGTTATGCCATAGATTTTGCACAGTACCCTGTCCAATGGTCTCTCCCCAACTAAATTGTCTTTTCCACACATGACAGGTCCCTAATTGCAGCATAGATACAGTCTCTGGCCACCAGAGGTGCAATCTTAGAGACACATCCGCAACAGGCAGTCTTTCTAAGCAACCTATGCCTAGTTCCCAAGAAAGGGTGTGGTTACAGGCCGGTCATCAAGCTACTCCCCCTTAACGCTTTTGTCGCTTTCCACCATTTCAAGATGGAATGTATTCACTCCCTCCGAAACTTACTCCTCCTAGGGGATTGGATGGTCAAGCTCGACCTTCAGGATGCTTACCTCACTGTGCCGATGGCCGAAGGCTGCCAACGTTTCATGCAATTCCGGTGGGAGATAACCATGTGGCGTTTCCTGTGCTTGCCCTTCGGTCTCTCATCAGCCCCTTGGTGCTTCACAAAGCTCATGAGACCTGCAGTGGCCCTCCTGCGAAGGAGGGGTTAGTCTGATTATATACTTGGACAATATACTTGTGATGGCACAAGACCCACTCTAACTCCACCAACATTTAACGTGGACGAGGACTTTACTCTGAAACCTTGGTTTCGTAATCAACTGGGACAAGTCGGTCATAGAACCTTCTCAGTCCCCACGTCCACCCCAACCCAGGCTCTCCTCACTTTGGGATGTGGACCTTGTCCTCCTGCTGTTTGAAATTGGCCAATGAATCAAGAGCTCTCACTCAAACAACTCACAGCAAAGCTGGTGATGCTGTTTTGCCTGATCTCATGTAAATATGTACCTGATGACATTTCTGCACGCGCCTTTACTCATGGGGGTGTCTCGTTTGATATTTCAAGACCTAAGAAACCATCTATCACCTCAATCTTCTACCCAGCTTTCCATCAGAATATAAAACTATGTCCGGTGAACTGTCTCAAAGCATATGAATCTAGGACTTCTCTTCGACAACCTCATCATCCTGTTTCCACAGTCACCTTATCTCGTTGGGTCAAATGGATCATGATGTCGGCTGGCATTAACACTTCAGAGTACGGGGCACATTCTGTCAGAGGAGCCATGGCATCTAAAGCTTTCACCAAGGCATGCAGATTAGAAGATCTCCTACGGCTGCTGATTGGTCCCGTGAATCCACTTTTTGAGAATTTTATTTTCGTCCAGTTTGTCAGTTTTCTGATGTGGTGGTTTCACAGCTTTGAACTAGCATAATAGGAACCTCCGTGTTCTTTAATAAAATTACCAGATTTTATTAATTTCATGACGTAAAGTCATGATTTTATTAAGGACACGGCGGCAAGTGTTATCCCACCTGATGCAGGTATGTTGGCGCCCTCCCTCATATGCTTCTTTTATTTGCTAATGAAATTATGATACTACGGCATATGCACTTATTGAGGGTTCTTGTAAGTTACGATTCTGCTTACTTTGGATTTATTACTCTATTTAATGACGTTTTATGGATATTTTGTTGTCCAAAAACATATTTTACCAGTTGTTTCTCTGTTCCTTTCAGCCTCATAATCGGATTTGGCACCATTGTGCACTGGTTCTTTTCATGTTTTAAACGGATGACCCATCTGCCACGGAGTTCCAGTTCATCTACCCAATGAGTTAATATTTCGGTTCCACGTTGACCATAGGTTTTCTTGAACTGAGTTTTTTGTCTGCATCAGCAAGAAAGAGGAGTGGCTTAGGTCACATGGGGGTTTATGATACAGAGAGCATTCTTATTGGATGTATTGTTATGTGTTAACCCTGTGAGGGTATATGTTAAAGGTTTTTTTCTATGAATATGACAGTATCCTTTCTTTGCTGCTGCATAATAAAGAAAGAGATAAGCATAATAATCGCCTCAGTGCCCTTTAATAAAATTCTAACTTTACGTCATGAATTTAGTAAAATCTGGTAATTCCAAATCCAAACTACTTGCGCAATAGGCAAGTAGGTTCATTTTGATTTGTGATTCTGCATTCCACTCGTGGTGCTAAAAAAATGGATAATTGGTGGGAAAAAGATGATTGATAGCTAGGGGACAGTCATTAAACACAGATTTTTAGCTCAGTGAACTAAACTCAAAAGACAGACAATTGTCCAGAGTACCTGCCTTGCAAAGACTTCTTATTTAGTTGCCTTGGGAAGTATGTGATTGGACAGCCACAGAAACTCTGGGCTGGATTAAAAGTGGAGGGCTTGCAACAGCTGTAGACAAGATATATGCAACTTTTGCAAGCTGCTTTCAGATATACCTCCCCCCCACCCCCCCGAACAACATGCATAATTAAATGCATGCATATTATAAATGGGGGTATATCTCCTGTATAGTGTAGTGTCCCGTAGAGATGAGCTTCCTTCTTTTGAAAAATGGTTTATACATATCATTATATACCATAAGCTTATGTACGAATGCCTTTTAATCAGCTAATAAATAATAATAAAAAATCTATAGGTAAAAGGACACTATAGTTACGAGAACAACCACAGCTTAATGTTGTGATACTGGTGTCTATAGCCTGTCTCTGTAGGCTTTTTTTTTTCAGGGAAAAGATAGTGTTTACATTGCTGCATAATGGCACCTCTTGTGGCAGTTACACAGACTGCAGTAGTGGTTTCCTAGCCTGAACTGATGTTCAGAATCTCCACGTTCTTCTTAAAGGACCACTATAGGCACCCAGACCACTTCAGCTCAATGAAGTGGTCTGGGTGCCAGGTCCATCTAGGGTTAACCCTGCAGCTGTAACCATAGCAGTTTCAGAGAAACATCTATGTTTACATTAGGGTTAATCCAGCCTCTGGTGGCTGACTCATTGACAGCCGCTATAGGCGCTTCCGCGCTTTTCACTATGATTTTCACAGTGAGAAGACGCCAGAGTCCATAGGAAAGCATTGAGAAATGCTTTCCTATGGACCAACTGAATGCGCGCGTGGCTCTTGCCGCACATGCGCATTCAGCGGATGACTTCGGAAGAGGAAGGAGAGTCCCCAGCGCCGAGGGAGCCCGGCGGGAGGGGGACCCAGAGGGTGGGGGACACCCAAAGACTCTATAGAGCCAGGAAAACGAGTTTGTTTTCCTGGCACTATAGCGGTCCTTTAAAAGCTCTATTTGTTACCCATAAAGATGCTTTGATTCAATGCATTTCTATGAGGAGATGCTGATTGGTGCAGCGCTGTGTTTTGCCATGCATGTGCAATAGCCTCCCAATAGCCTATGGGAAAGGATTGGATTGGCTGAGATAATCAAGTTTGATGCCATGATGGTGGAGCCATGCCTAACCAATACAGTGAGACTGGCACGGCGTGGGAGAAAAGGTGAGTAAAAACCACATTTACCATGTAATGCACAGGGGGCCAGTCACCTAAATAGTTACAGTGTCAGGAGTACATGTTTGTGCTCCTAACACTATAGTGCTCCTTTAATAATTAATATCTGAGTCTTATACAGCTAAATCATTGTTGCTAAATTACATATATTTGGCATTTGTTTGTGGAATGTACTATATTTGGCATAGTTACATAATTTAATACAGCATACCTTAAGTCTTTTGAAAAATAGAAAAAGTAAGGTTAGGTCTCCACATAAAAATTAGATGGGACCCACCTCATTGGAATTACCTCTATTGTTAAAATATCATAAATGGTAATAGACTTTATTGAAAACCAAATACATATAACATAAACAAATTCTGTGTAGTTTGGATGTAGAGTCCTTATACTCATCCATTTCTCATGACAGAGGGATAGAACACACCAAACACTTCTTGGACCAAAGGGGTCCTAATTATGAACCACATACAGCTTTTGCACTGAGACTCCTTAATTTCATTTTGTCACATAATTACTTTCTGTTCCACAATAGATTCTACCACTAGGTGAGGGGTACGGCTATGGGGACGGCTTGTGCTCCCTCATATGCCAAACTCCACCTGGGGTGGTAGGAGGAACAAATTAAAAAATCAGTCTCATTGGCTGCTTTTTGCATGGTATCGCTATATAGGTGATGTCCTAATAGGGCACATCTGATGAATTTAATGACTTTATTTCTATTTTAAATGTAAATTATGACAATCTGAGATTTGCAGCGGAGTTTGGTGGTCCCTCCTTGAGCTTCTTAGGCCTAACTGTCTACATATCTGGGGATGGTTCTGTCCAGACGTCCCTGTATAGGAAGCCATCAGCCTCCAACGCCCTCTTAAAATGGGATAGCTTCCATCCGAGACCCTTGAAACAGGGTATACCAGTTGGACAGTATCTGAGGATACGGAATAATTGTAGTAGCATCAAAGACTTCCAGGACAAGGCCAACATGCTTAGACAGCAGCTTAGAGAGAAAGGGTACCCTAACAGGTGCGTTAAAAAGGCTTATAAGAGGGTCCTGGAAGCCAACAGAGATGACCTTCTGGCAGACCACTCCCAAGGAGGAGATTGTGATGAATAAAATCAGAATGATAGCGATATTTGACTCAGGATGAAATTAGGTTAGAAGGTCGATGCAATGATTTTTGCCTATTTTACTCAATGATACTCACCTAAAGGAGGTTTTGGGCCCACAAGTAACCATAACTGCACGTAGAGGTCGCAATTTCTGTGATTTTTTTTTACTCCCAAGCCATTTCCAGCCAAAACCAAATCCATCACTCACCTGGTTAGGTGGAAATCCTCCCTGTGGTACCTACAGGTGTGGTAAGTGTGTCACCTGTAAGTATATCCTACGAGACTCGAAATCAGTGACAGAAAGTGAGGGACGGCACACCTTTAGGGTGACACATTTCTTTAATTGTAACACTGCAGGACTGGTTTAAAAATATGTGGGCAAAACATCACGCCTCTTTAAAGAACGTATAAAGGAACATGTGAGGTCCCCAAAGAATTGCTTAGAAACTCCCATTTCAAGACACCTCAAAGAATGCCACAGGGGCCTATCTAAGGATATAAGATTCTTTAGCCTAGAGCTGGTCAAACGGGACCAAGACGGAGGGGTTTTGATAAAATTCTACATCAAAAAGAATGTTGATAGATTTACAAATTAAAAACCCTCAATCGTTTAGGTCTGAATGAAGGCTTCTCTTTTGCCCCCTTTATTTGTTCTAACCCTATGTGGATTCTGGTATCCCTATATATTTGGAGAATTTAATTATGTATATTTGTAAATATTGCATAGCCTATTTTCTTTGTTTATTCTTTAATGTTGAAATCATATCTTTATCATGTATACGGTTATTCTGACTTTATGTAGACATCTAGAAGTAAATCGGATTAATTTATTACCGCTCTTTATATAACATTCAGTGTGGATAATGACCATATTGGTTTGATCGAATGGATAACCCATTTTCTGTGAGGAAACAGTATGTGTATGGGTGGGCAGTGTGTACGGGGTGGACAGTGTATGTGTATGGGGGGCAGTGTATGTGTGTGTGGGGGCAGTGTGTGAATTTGTATGGTGTGTGTGTGGGGGCAGTGTGTGTATTGGGGGAACAGTGTATGTGTGTGGGAGCAGTGTGTATGGGGGTCAGTGTATGTGTATGGGGCAGTGTGTGTGTGTATGGGCAGTGTATGTGTGTGTGGGGTGTGTGTGTGTTGGGGGTGACAGTGTATGTGTGTGGGGGCAGTGTATGTGTGTGTGGGGGTAGTGTGTGTGTGTGTTTGTGTGTGGCAGTGTGTGTATGGGGGCAGTGTATGTGTGTGTGGGGGCAGTATGTGTGTGTGTGGGGGGCAGTGTGTGAATGTGTGGTAAGGAGGGTAGGGGGCTTTTTTATAAAAAATAAATAAATAGAATTTATAAAAATAAATACATTTATGTCCCCCCTCCCTTCTTAACTTTACTGATCCCTGGTGGTCACAGCAGTAAGAGTGAACTCTAGCCCATAGTTCCAGGACTAAAGTACACTCTCGCGAGATTTGATTACCACGGCAACGCTTCGTGCTCGTGAGAGTAGGACCCGGAGGAGCTGCAGACTGAGCTCCCGGGTCCTCTCTCACTCCCCTGCCGGCTGTCATGCAATTCGTATAGTATGAACGAACGATATAGTAAGCTATTATCAATTGAACAGGGTTATCGTGTGAATTGTAACAGGCAGCGGTCGACAAATTTGCCGCACGAACGGATGAAACTACACGAATGGATAAGTAAGAATAAGAAGGCAGCCTATCCCTGCGTTTTTAGGCCCGAACATGGGAAATAACCAAATGTTATTTCCTACGTGGCACTTACGTGTACGTGCCGGGTCTCGTGAACGGAAGCCGGGTAAAGTGTCTGTGGAGACAATCAAAGCTATGTGGAGACAATCAACGTGAACGGCAGAGGTGAGTATGGGCTCAGTGTTTAAATAGGGGACATAACTCCTCCCACAAATACAGGCCTAATGGCCTTTTAACATATGGGAGATCTGTCTACATATTCTGGTTTAATCCAATAGTATGTACTACAGATACTGATCTCCATATATACACATGTCTATGAGTATTCCTACCCCAAGTATTTTAAAGTGTATTGCTGTGATTTTTTTGTCTTATACACGGTGGGTTGTGTTTACACCTTTTTTACATGGATTTGTTTATGTTATGTGAATTTGATTTTCAATAAAATCTATTACCATTTATGATATTTTAACAATAGAGGTAATTCCAGTGAGATGGGTCCCATCTAATTTTTATTTGGAGACCTAACCTCACTTTCTCTATTTTTCAAGTGTTGATGTTAATTGGCTTCATGCCCCCTCTTACCTCGGTAACCTTCTCTGTAACAACAGTGTAGGTTTTTCCTAGATCTGAGGCTGTATCTTACCTTAAGTCTTTACTAACGCTTCTCTTCTCTCTCATCTCTTTATATATAGAATGCAACGGTGTCTAGCATGATAAATGGACTCAATTTCTCTACAGCAAACTTCAACAACCAAACAACACCTCCACCTGGATCTTCTCATAAACTCGGAATAGCCATCCTATCCTTAGCTTTCATCATTGGCTTCCCAGGCAATGCCTTCATCATCTGGACCGTGCTGACACGAATACGGAAACGCTCAGTGACTTGCATCCTAATCTTACATTTAGCCATAGCCGATATGAGTCTGATACTCACTGCTCCTTTCTTCCTCCACCTCCTATCAACAGGAAGTTGGGTGTTTGGGCCTGTTGTTTGTAAATTATGCCATTACATTAGTTGTCTAAGTATGTACGCCAGTATCTTTCTAATTACGTTTATGAGTGTGGATCGTTTCCTCGCTGTAGCTTTACCTTTTTCTTCTCAAAAGCTAAGAACAAAGGAAATTGTCCTGCGCTTGACTTTTTCAGTGTGGGTGCTATCAGCATTGTTAGCTATCCCAATGCCATTTTACCGCGATGTATTTGTTATATCTAATCGGCCACTCTGTATTCCCTACCACAAAAGTTCTGGACACATCATATTTCAGTACCTTTTTGAAACTTTGTTTGGTTTTTTAATCCCATTCACTATTATTGTGTTCTGCTATGTGTATATTGGTATACGGTTACGTAGTGCACAGTTCCAGAGCAAGCGTAAGACAAGCCGCTTAGTTATATTAATTATTGTAACCTTTGCTCTTTTCTGGATTCCTTATCACTTGGTCAATATTCTGCAGGTATCAGGAGAGACAACATCAAAACTAAAGCTTAAAAATGCAGCTAAAAGTGCTCGACCCAACGTTACTGCATTGGCCTTCCTCAGTAGTAGTGCCAACCCTGTGCTTTATGCATTTGCTGGAGGTTCCTTCATCAGAACAGCTGGGATAGGATTCATGGCCAAGCTGTTAGAGGCGTCCCACTCTGAAAGCTCCAGTTTCCGGACTGTCACTTCCGTTTTCCGGCAACGAAGCAGAAACGAGTCAGTAGATGTGGAAAAGATACGGGAGATCACAGAGGAAAGCAAGACAATGTCCACCAATCAAACAGAATAACTCTAATAATGACACCAATGAAAATATATCTTCTAAGTTATTTTTCTCATTATGAAACACAGCTATAGACAATGCAAAACAATACAAAAAGTGCTCTGACATACATTTCATATGTGTTGTGTCCTTTCACTGCTCCACTAAAATCAGGAGCAGAGTTCAACATAATTTCTGCTTAATATAACAACTGTGGATAAGATAAAGTGAACATTTAGCTTGCACAAATATTCTGATGACAAGGTCTGCATTATGTTAAGAATAAAATGTCAAAAGTGCAGTCTTGTATGTGAATGAATTTATATTTTTCTCCTAAAATGTGGCATGTGCAAAGAAGGTGACAAATTGCAGAGGAAAAAAATGCTTAAGCTTTGTTTGGTATAAATTTTAGTAAAAGTTTTTGAAAATTGTCCAAGTCTTAGTTTTGTTGTCAGTAAATAGCTGCCATAAATTGTAGTTATTAAATGGACATTTTAGGCACCCAGACCACTTCATCTCATTGAGGTAGTCAAGGTGGAGTGACCCTGTCCCCTTAAGCCTGCAATGTAAAACACTGCAGCAGCGCCGGCCTTAGGGGTGTGCGAGCTGTGCGGCCGCATAGGGCGCCACAGCAACAGCGGTGCCAGTGGCCGGCACAGCTAATAGTTCCCCGGTTTTACTTGTAGCCCCAGTGCTAGGCACACGCTGGGGCATCACCTCACTTGCTGCAATGAAGCAGGCAAAGGCTCCAGGAGCAGAGCCTCCATCAGACAGTGAGTGCAGGCAGACACATGTTGCCTGTAGAACTCCTCAGGGCCCCTCCGTGCTGCTTGTTTCGGGGGAAGTGACATCATGAGTCAGAGGTCGGCGTGAACCACACAGAGTGGCCCTGATCAGTTCTACCATAGACATAGAATACCTGGATGCGGCATTGCGTGATGAGCGTCGAGGAATGTGGGCGCCATCTTGGACCGGTCGCTGCTCTACTGAAGCTATTGAAGAACCCTTGGGGATCACTCACAAAACATGAGTGAAGGACTTGGGGCACTTATAGTCCTTAATACCCCTAGCCCTAGTCCTTAATACCCCTACCCCTAGTCATTAATAGCCCTACCCCTAGTCCTTAATACCCCTACCCCTACAGTGTTAATACCCCTACCCCATCACACACAGTGTTAATACCCCTACCACAGCACACATAGTCCTTAATACCCCTACCCCTACACACACAGTGTTAATACACGTAGTGTGCTGGGGTAGGGGTATTAACACTGTATGTGCTGGGGTAGGCAGGGGTAGGGGTATTAACACTGTAGGGGTAGGGGTATTAAGTGCCCCTACCTTTTGTGTGATGGACTTTCCAAGTGTTCATTAATAGCTTCAGTAGAGCGGCGACCAGTCCAAGAGGGCGCCCGCCTTCCTCGACGCTCAGCACGCAATGCCATAGATGTGCGGCGTCTATGTATTCTATGTCTATGAGTTCTACAGACAACATGAATACTCCATAAGGTTCTCAGGAAGGTATGGAAGAAATGCTTAATAACATGCTCGGATAGGGCTGGAAGTGGGGAAAGGAGTGAAATCATAGTCTATCTAACGGAATATGATTAGAGGAGAAAATAGTTATATGAATTTGGAGACAATTTTGAGTTACTATCTATTTGGTTAGATCAGGATACTAGTGGATTCTGCATGTAAGGAGAGGAGTAGAATGGGGGGTACTATATAAGAGGAGTAGAAAATGGGGTTACTATTTGTGGGGGAGAGGAGGAGAATAGGGGGTACTATATAGGACAAGAATGGGCTCCTGACTATGGGGGAGGGGCTTTGATTGGGGTACTATATATGATGTGGGGGAGAGGAGGAACAAAGGATGGGCTAAATACACAAGGTGGAGAAGTGGCCATGAGGCAGTAATGAGCTTCTAGGTATTAGAGTTGGGAATGGGCTATGGTCAATGATAAGTACAAATTTACAACTTTGTTGTGGCACTATCTGTGTGAACAAACAAAAACACTACTTCATTCACACACCTTGCCCCAATTACTTCTTGCTCCAGCCCCCTTAACCTCATCAGTGCCCCAATCCTGCCCCCTATTCTGCTGACTTGTTCTATGCTTCTTCCTCACTTAACCCCTTCAGCTCCCTATCCAGTCCCAGTTTCTCTCAGCTTCTGCTCCATTAACCCCTTTAATTCCTTATTCTGCTCCACTTGATAAAAGGGTCTTCACTACACGTAATTTTTCAGGACTGTATATCTGCCCCTCAGTGTGTTAGTATTTAAGTTTGACAATTTTTGTTTACCACTCTAGTTTGTTTACTGCTGTTTTATTTAATAATTCTACTTAATATACTTATATTGCACTTAGAAGTTTAATATATTAGTTTGGGAGTTAAGATTAGCAGGTTTAAAATGGAAGGCATTATTGGATGGTTGGGTGTGAGGAGGGGGCACTATGAAAATATTTTGCACAGGGCGCCCAAAACCCTACTGCCGGTAGAGAAAACTGCAATGCTTACATTGCAGAGCTAAGATAACCTCTACTAGTGTGACATCTCTGGAGGAGGAGACCGAGCGAGTGCTGAGGGACAAAGAGGTAAGTCTAAAAAGTGTTTTTAACCCTTTATATACAGGAGGTGGGCAGATCTATAGCAATAGAAACAGGGATACTATAGTGTTAGGAATGCAGTTTTGTATTTCTAATGCTAAAATGTTCCTTTGACTGATATCTAATATTTGCAGCCACAAAATACCTCTGTACTGCTTCAATCAGATGGTCTCTCTGGGAAAATCTGATTGAAATAGTGGAGTTTTAGTCCTCTCTTTTGCAGAAGCACTTCTAGTATGACAGCCAGGGCCGCCATCAGAAATTTTGGGGCCCCTAACACAGCTCAAGGTCTGGGCCCCCCTTCAAGCCTGCCTCCAAATCCCGCCCAGAGGAATACACACACACTAACAGATACAAATACTGAAACAGACATACACACATATACAAGCAGACATACATACTGACAAACATACATATACATACTGCATATTGATATATACATACATACCGACAGGCATACATACATACAGACACACACTGGCATACACACACACACGCATACTGGCATACATGGGCATACATACACACACGCACTGGCATACACACACACTGGCATACATACACACATACACTGGCATTCATACACTGGCATACATACATACACACTGGCATACATACACACATACACTGGCATTCATACACACATACACTGGCATTCATACACACATACACTGGCATACACACACTGGCATACACACACATACACTGGCATTCATACACCGGCATACACACTGGCATACATACACACATACACTGGCATACACACACTGGCATACATACACATACACTGGCATACATACACACACGCACTGGCATACACACACTGGCATACACACAGGCATTCATACATACACACATACACTGGCATCCACACACTGGCATACATACACACATACACTGGCATTCATACACATACACTGGCATACACACACTGGCATACACACATACACTGGCATACATACACACATACACTGGCACACACATACACTGGCATACACAATGGCATACACACACTGGCATACACACACATACACTGGCATTCATACACCGGCATACACACACACACTGGCATTCATACACTGGCATTCAGACACTGGCATAACACTGCAATGAAAACATTGCTGTTCCTGCAGAACAGCAATGTTTTCCGCCATACCTTAAAACAGGGAGGGGGGAAGCTGGCGCCCAGACCATTTCATTGTGATTAAGTAGTCTGGTTACCTATAGTGTTTCTTTAAGTAGCAGTCCAGATAACTTTGCAGGAAAATCAACTTGAGTTGAGACATGTAGGCACAACAAGAGTTCTTGTTGTTAAAATGCCAGGTTATGATAGAGCCGTACAGCATTTCTATTGTGGAGGAATTAGACACCCCAGCAACAGCAGACCTGCACACGGGGGGGAATTTCCTAAACACTTCGCATGGTAAAAGCATGTTCCTTCCAGGAACCACGGGTTTGGCAGCAATCTACCGGGAACGTTTGCTTTGGAGCTGTTGGCCATGGCATCCAGGTTCCATCGCCTCAGCCCCTTTGGGGGATCTACTCCATTGTAGCAGCTGCTGTGGAATGGGGTAAATCATGGTCAGGGTCATCAATCCGTTGTTACTCAGTCAACTAAGCACATGTCATATCATCAAAAAACGCCACTCATCATCCATAAGGTCATGATATTTCTGGGGAACTCACTTGGTTGTCCACTTATCACATTTCTTTTACTTTCATGTACCAGGCGGGGGTATACATCCCTGCAGACAATTGTCTCATTTATATTCCAGGCATGTTCATCATACACTTCCCACAGCCACCCATACAGTCACGCCCACTCTTTCGTTCCAGAGACAAAATCATGGATTAGACATACTCATGCAGCATAGCATGCACTATCTCACCTAGCACTTTCGTCCCATACTTGTAGAACGCATAACACAGCTTTTCACCTGGCTTAAAGAATCTCATTGGAACACGACATAGCTCAACCTGTGTCATAACATTTCTCCTAGGTTTTGCTTCTTTTTGCCACCTTAAACTTAAACTATCTCACACGCCATTAATTATATATTTTACAGGCATTCAACAACACAGGATAACCTATGGCCAAAACTACCATAACTCCATGCTATCATACCAGACAAGAATATATAGAGTTTTTCAGGAATCCATTCCCCCACGTTCCTCTCAGTGATTACCAATAGCCATCCAACTTTTCCATCCTTATCGGACCTATTAGATCTACAACCATTCAATTATATACCAAGTCGGCCATTACCAGCCATGCACACTGCCTTCTATGCCTTTCTCAGGCCAGATAATCCACTACCATCACCACCACTCAGACAGATCATTGTCTTCAACAATCCCACGTACGTAAACACATATATCATTACCTATTGGCTCTACCACATTACGAAACGAGTCAACACGCACCAACGGTAAAAATAACATACTATCCTACCCACAACAAATGGTGTCCACTTTTGGTCCTAGATTCCTACCTTCAAAATCCTTCCAGGAATTAAATACTGTAATGCATTTAAGGAAATGTCTGGTTAATTTGTATATATTTTTGACTGTATTAAATCTTTGATTATTCATTTTTGCCCTCTTTATTTACAGGCCTACCGTATCGTCGGTCTCGGCACACCACAACCGACTTGCTCCCTTTAAACTATCCTATGCTTATGCTGGATCCTTACTCCATATACGGCTATTTGCCCCTTACACAAGTATTAAGGCCGTTTGGCCTATATTTGTGGGAGGGGCTTAAATTAATTCACTTCCCTATATAAGGGACACCCCTTACCTGACTCATATCGCTTGAGGTCAGCATCAGAATGACCCTCCCACCCACTCCTCATTTCAACACTTTCTCTTTTCTTTCCATTTACTTTACTTTCTTACTCCTTGGTGGGCCCTCTTTATTTACAGGCCTACCGTATCGTCGGTCTCGGCACACCACAACCGACTTGCTCCCTTTAAACTATCCTATGCTTATGCTGGATCCTTACTCCATATACGGCTATTTTCCCCTTACCTAAATATGTATGTATATATATATATATATATATATATATATACACACACGCACACATACATATATACATATATATATATATATATATAAAATACAATCCAGCGCGCACTCACCTATCCACTAAACAGCAACTTCAATGTTGAAAGATTTTATTTGTTTTTTTAAAAACACCTAATCTAGGCAAAAATAATGGGGGTTTAGTTACATTATATGATCATACATTGCATAAGCCTGCCACAACGTCAATGTACCCCATCTTTGGCAGGTCCTACACTAACAGCCTAATGTCTGCTCTTATGAGATTAACCTACTTGGGGAAAGAAATTCCATCTGGGGCTCTCTGCAGTACAAGGCTAAATAGGGCCCTGGGATGAGGCACGTGTGACAGGGAGGGGTGCAAAACCAAGGAGTTGGCTAGACTCCCAAATATATATAAAACAAAAGGGGGTTGGCTGCACTCACCTTAACATGCATAAATGGGGGTGCTGCTGGGGGCCAAATAATACAAAACACAAGATCCAGCGCACTCACCTATCCACTAAACAGCAACTTCAATGTTGGAAGATTTTATTAGTTTTTTTAAAAACACCTAATCTAAGCAAAAATAATGGGGTTTAGTTACATTATATGATCATACATTGCATAAGCCTGCCACAACGTCAATGTACCCCATCTTTGGCAGGTCCTACACTAACAGCCTAATGTCTGCTCTTATGAGATTAACCACTTACTTGGGGAAAAAAATTCCATCTGGGGCTCTCTGCAGTACAAGGCTAAATAGGGCCCTGGGATGAGGCACCTGTGACAGGGAGGGGTGCAAAACCAAGGAGTTAGCTAGACTCCCAAATATATATAAAACAAGAGGGGGTTGGCTGCACTCACCTTAACATGCATAAATGGGGGTGCTGCTGGGGGCCAAATAATATAAAACACAAGATCCAGCGCACTCACCTATCCATACTAAACAGCAACTTCAATGTTGAAAGATTTTTATTAGTTTTTAAGAAAACACCTAATCTAGGCAAAAATAATGGGGATTTAGTTACATTATATGATCATACATTGCATAAGCCTGCCACAACGTCAATGTACCCCATCTTTGGCAGGTCCTACTCTAACAGCCTAATGTCTGCTCTTATGAGATTAACCACTTACTTGGGGAAAAAATTCCATCTGGGGCTCTCTGCAGTACAAGGCTAAATAGGGCCCTGGGATGAGGCACCTGTGACAGGGAGAGGTGCAAAACCAAGGAGTTGGCTAGACTCCCAAATATATATATATACATATGAAACAAATAAAATCTTTCAACATTGAAGTTGCTGTTTAGTGGGTAGGTGAGTGCGCTGGATCTTGTGTTTTATATTATTTGGCCCCCAGCAGCACCCCCATTTATGCATGTTCAGGTGAGTGCAGCCAACCCCCCCTTGTTTCATATGTATATATTTGGGAGTCTAGCCAACTCTTTGGTTTTGCACCCCTCCCTGTCACAGGTGCCTCATCCCAGGGCCCTATTTAGCCTTGTACTGCAGAGAGCCCCAGATGGAATTTTTTCCTCAAGTAAGTGGTTAATCTCATAAGAGCAGACATTAGGCTGTTAGTGTAGGACCTGCCAAAGATGGGGTACATTGACGTTGTGGTAGGCTTATGCAATGTATGATCATATAATGTAACTAAACCCCCATTATTTTTGCTTAGATTAGGTGTTTTTAAAAAAACTAATAAAATCTTTCAACATTGAAGTTGCTGTTTAGTGGATAGGTGAGTGCGCTGGATCTTGTGTTTTATATTATTTGGCTCCCAGCAGCACCCCCATTTATGCATGTTCAGGTGAGTGCAGCCAACCCCCCCTTGTTTCATATGTGTGTATGTATATGTATATATATATATGTATATATATATATGTATATACATACAAATGCTAAATTAAAGTGATTTAAAAAAAACACAATATAAGTGATAATGCTTTGATGTATATACTCTCTATGCATATCATATATGTGCACTATATTAAAATAATTAATAAAATGACAGCATCCAAGGTCTACTCAAATTTACATTTTCCTGTCATAACTAAACAATTAATATGATAGTGGTAGGCTTCATCTATTGAAACTCACTTTGAATTACAGGAATAAACATTAAAACATTATCTATATTAATGTAAAAATGAAAGGCATTATTTTATCAGCCACAGGCCTAAATATAAAAAATGGAAACAGGCAGTAGTTAATTGTTGAAGGATAACAAGGTACTGCTACAATAAACAAGAAACACTGACAAATACCATGCTAAGTAGTTAAGTAACATGAAGCACAAATACACAATATGCAAAATTATAACTGATCTTCTCACACCCTGTGGGTGTAATTTCAAATAAATATTTTCTGGACCGAGATCTCAGACGTCCCACCTATAAGCTGCGGAATCAAATAACCCAAATTCCCAACGTATTCTATTAAAACTGGGACAGTTACTGCCTTCACTTTTCATATCCTTTATAGCGCCTCTTTCAGTCCTTGGTATTTGTCCACCTTCTTATGTTCCTTGTTCTTAATGTTATTTTAACAGATCCCCCTGTTTTTCGTTTAATCTGTTATATATGTTGTAACAACCTCCTACCATGTTGCCTGGGAACCTCTACCTTTTGTTTTCCTGCCATCATCCACATTGCCCTGCACCTAAGAACAAAGACTGTTTCTGGCCCTTTAACTGTGTTGTGCAAAGGATGGGTACGTTTGATATGGCACTTCGGATACTGCCGAAGTAGTCGAAGTGGCCGCCATTAGACAATTGAACACGTGGCGGCAGCCATTTTAATGCAGTCGACCGCGGTCAGCGGTGTGTGCCGTCAAATCCCTGGAACGAAAATCAGCCACACATTTGGACGAACACCGCTGACCTGTACCTTCCCCTACCCTTCGACACTGCGGCTGGAGACTAAGTCCCATTCGAAGATTCTAACACACGTTCGAATAGGACTTTGTCATCTTTTTCATGTAAAATAGACTGCCACTTAACTAACTACCACCGCTGAAACTTAACCCCGTTTTTACTTCGACACTTCGACAGAAGTGTAAATGCGTTCGACTATTCGAACGCTGCCTTTGGATGGGACTTTGTTGTTTTTCAAGGCAGAATTAGACTGACTGCACAGCCTGAATCTGTGGAACTGTTTTGGGCATGCAAACAGGCATGTGGTCGGTCCAAAGAGACTTTTTAATATTTCTGGAACCACTGAACGGATTTGTACGAATTTTGAATATGTCTGTCCCCAAGTTGTTTTGTTCATAAAAATATACGTTTTATTCCTGTGGGATGAAAAATCATAAAGTTATAAAAATGCATAAAAAAGTACAAGTGTTTAGCTTGGAGATAATTGAGTAGAAACCATAAGAAACTCAATTATCTCCCAAGCAGAGGGGAGGGAATTTGTGGGTTGTAACCATTGTCTGATTGGTTAATGTCTAATTGTCTGTGGGTGTCTCCTTTGCATGGGAGCTCCTTATAAAAGGAGAGTACCTGCTATTAAACCTCAGTTCTACTTCACCCTCAATCTAGAGTCCTGTCTTTTATTGGGGGTAACCGATATACAGCTATTCACACTAGCTCTTGTAAGAGCTTCTTCACTTGGATCACGACTGGATGCTGAGAATCCTCATCACTGATCGGGAAAAGGACACCCTCCAGCGGATGAAACCCCTCTGCTATTCGGGGTAACCGCTACAGTTATGATCACAGGGTACTTCCACAACCAGCACCACTGCAGTCTTCTCCACGATATTTGGTGGGTTGGCCAGTACTTGCTTGTCTGTCTGGATGTGGAAGTCCCACAGAATTTTAGTCCTGACATTCTCGACTATCCTTTGGGGTACTTCCCATCTGGACTTAGGCAGGTCTAGCAAGTATTCTGTGCAGATGTTTTGGCAAACAATCAGAGCCTCTCATTGTATGATATCCCAGATAACATCTTGTATCCAGCAACTATGCACTGCATTGTCTCGGACGCCTCTTTGCACAGTCTGTCCCTTGTGTCCTGTCTGGTGTGGTAGACGGTAGACCCTCCTTTCTGTTGATCTGGTGCTGAGTGTCTGTTGGTGTGCTGCTAGGATTAGTGCTGTATTCCAGTCCTGCTTTTTTCAACTATTGGTAGGATTTAATAATGTGAGCCACATTCACTATTTGCCAATGGTATATTTGATGGGGAGATATCTTGGCTTGTCATGGAACCTCCTCTTTATCTGCATCCTCTAGCTGTGGCTGTCTTAGGCATTTCATAGTTACATAGTAGTCTATGTTGAAAAAAAGACAAAAGTCCATCAAGTGCAACCTTGAAACCCATTCTTTTATGCAGTTGATCCAAAAGAAGGCATAAAAAACAAAAAAACAACTGGACCAGTTTCCAATTATTCCACAAAAAGGAGAAAAAATACTTCTTGATTCTATAATGCAATCAGATTTCTTCTTGGATCAACAACCTGTTCACATACATATCAATTATGAATTGAATATTCTGTTTATGCAAAATATCATCCAAGCCTTTTTTTATCTCTATAATATGATAAAATCTCTTTAGGTAGCCAATTCCACACCTTTATTGGATTTCCTGTAAAAAAAAAAAACTCTTTCCTCTGCTGTAAGTGAAAAAAAAGTATTTCTTCCAATCTTAGTGGGTGACCTCTTGTATGTTTTGTATTTCTGCTAATGAACAGGTTAGCATATAGCTATTTGTATAGTGCAGGGGTCAGCAACCTATGGCACGTGTGCCATGGATGGCCCTCTAGGTGCCTTTCCCCGGCACTCAAGGCTGCTAGAGCCAAATAGGCTCTGGCCTATAGGGAACAGATATCTGCTAGTGCAAACCAAGTGGTGATTGCAGTTGGTGAGGGGCAATCCTCAATTTATGCATTGCTGCACTTAGAGTAGGTGATCTCAGATCACTTCCTCTCAGCACTTGTGAACAGGGTATGTTTGTATATAATTTTGGAGTTTGATTGCATGGGTGTGTTTCCATGTAATATTTGTCTTATATTGCAGGAGTGTGTTTGCATGTTGTGCTGGTGTTTGATTGCTTGGATGTAAGCACATAAACACAGAGACTGGGACCTGGTGAAACACCTCCACCCCCCCAGGACCGACGGGGGTCATCCCGGTCCACGTCTCGCAGCCTCACTTACCCTGCTAACGAAAAGCTGTGGACACTGCACTAGACAGAGGAGTACCTCCATCACCCAAAATGGCAGACGCACCCTCTACATGCGGCGAGCAAGACGGGTGCATGGCAGTAGACCTCATGCTACAGCACCTAAACAAATTCTTTGCCAAGCTATGACAGAAGTTAAAGGTATGTGCAGACACAACAGAAGGGGGTTGGAGGGGCAGTCGAAGGCACGCATGAGATGGGGTGCAAGAGGCCCCGTCGGGCACAATCACTCATGAGCACTCAAGCCGTAAAAACTCAGCCCACCCAGGCAGCGAGCCGGAAGGGTCTCTCGCCCAAAGCAACCCACACAGAAACAGAAGCCCAGACTCTGCAAACGACCCCATGCTTCAGCACAGCCCCCTAGAGGCGGCCAGGCCCGCGGATGCCTAAAGACTAGCCAGAGGACACACACACAGCGAGTCATGCTTTATACACAGAGACAAACCTGGGATCCTCCCTTCCGACATTGGACGCAGCCAGTCCAGCAGAGCCAGGCGACAAGTGAGCACGCACGCCCGGAGGCAGAGGGGTACCCCCACGGAGCGCAGACACAAGCATACAAACCCCCAACTGGGTCACTCACACTACGCCTGCCTCTTGGAACCTGGGAGTCGGAGGGGAGACCGAAGGCGCAACGCCAGAACTTACGGCACCAGGGCATGGGGCTACCAAACCGCCCCATCACAAACACCACAGCAGCCACAAGCGGGAATCGGCTGACCGCGGGACTGCCCCTGTACCCTGAGACCCACTCAGAACTATGATCCTGGTTAAATATTTTGTTTTTGCCCCTCTATATGCAACTACCCACGCTACCACCGGCAACTGGGTGCTCTACAAAACCCTCCAATGCAACAATCTCAGACTGTGAAACGACTTTATGTTAAAAGTTTAAGTCATAGAGGGAGCCATCTAGGACACTTGTATCACTTATCAGCCAAATATAACATGCGGTAGTTCATGATGCACGCAGTTAGTCCCATGACGTAACTAAATAAGCCTGTATATATTGCTTGCTCAGTAAACAACAATATGCCGCTGGCTTAATGCCATGTTTGCTGATAATCGCGATAATATTTTCAGCCAGTTAGGCAATGTTTCAACGTCCCTAATCACTACTAAAGATGTTGGAATCATAGCATGTTTATTGTATTAAGCTTGATGATCAAACTGTGACCCAATAGACATGCAAAGCTAGCCTGTACTCAGTATGTTTCTGAACCTTAATGTATTACTAGCCTATTTTATCTAAAAAAAATTTTTTTTTAAAAATGTGCAGTTAATTTATGCCATGACTATGTATGCCATTGGAACGCCTGTATACTCTGTTGTGGCGCTACAGGTCTCTCTGTTATATAATCAAATGTACAAAAAAAATAAAGAATGAAATAAAAAAATAAAAAAAAACAATAATAACCAACGCAATTAAAAAAAAAAAAACGAGCGGAAAAAAATCCATCTTCACCCGGAGAGGGCTCCGCGCAGACTGAGCTCTGCAGGACGGGGGAAGGCGTATAAAGCCTTGCCCTGCCCTGCAATTAGGCTCAGAGCACTCCGATTGGTGGGTTTAAGCCATCCAATCAGAGTGCTCTGACAGGTAAATGAAGAGACTGACAGGTAAGTCTCTACATTTACCTGTCACAGCACTCTGATTGGTTAGCTTGAAATACACCAATCAGAGTGCTCTGTGTCATTTTACTGGGTGAAGATGGATTATTTATTTTTGCTTCGGTTATTATGGATTTTTATTTGGCCTTTTTTGGGGCTGAAAAAGGAAGATTTTAGAAGAAAGAAAACATCGAATGGTAAGTTTTATTTTTTTTTACAGGTACTTAGTTAAAGCTCCCCCTCTCATTATTTTTAAGGTGAGGAGGGTAGGTAGGGGGTTATTTTTTTTGGGGGGAGGGGGTGACTAGGGGTTTGTGGACCCCTAGTCACCAGGGAGGGGGGTTAACTTTTTTTAGAGCCCCCAACCCCCACTCAGGGGTGGTGGCTGGGGGTGTAGGACAATAGGTCCCCCCTATTGGTATTTAGGGACCCACCCGCCGCTCAGGGGTGGAGGCCGGGGGGGAGGACAATAGGTCCCCCCATTGGTATTTAGGGCCCCAACCCGCCGCTCAGGGGTGGAGGCCGGGGGGGAGGACAATAGGTCCCCCCATTGGTATTTAGGGCCCCAACCCGCCGCTCAAGGGTGGGGGCCAGGGGGGAGGACATCAGGTCCCCCCCTTATTAGTATTTAGAGCCCCCACCCGCCGCTCGGGTTGGGGGCCAGGGGGGAGGACATCAGGTCCCCCCCTTATTAGTATTTAGGGCCCCCACCCACCGCTCAGGGGTGGGGGCAGGGGGGAGGACATAGGTCCCCTCCCTTACTAGTATTTAGGGCCCCCACCCACCGCTCAGGGGTGGGGGCCAGGGGGAGGACATTAGGTCCCCTCCCTTATTAGTATTTAGGGCCCCCACCCACCGCTCAGTGGTGGGAGCCAGGGGGGAGGACATTAGGTCCCCCCCTTATTTTAATTTAGGGCCCCCACCCACCGCTCAGGAGTGGGGGCCAGGGGGGAGGCCAATAGGCCCCCCATTATTTTACATTAGGGCCCCCACCCACCACTCAGGGGTGGGGGCCCGGGGGGAGGTCAATAGGTCCCCCCCATTATTTTACATTAGGGCTCCCACCCACCGCTCAGGGGTGGGGGCCGGCAGGGGCAATAGGCTCGGGAGGTGGTACCTTTTTTTTTTTAGGCCCCCTTATTAGTATTTAGGGCCCCGTTCCCGTTGTTCAGGGGTGGGTCCAGGGGGGAGGACATTAGGTCCCCTCCCTTATTAGTATTTAGGGCCCCCACCCACCGCTCAGGGGTGGGGGCCAGGGGGGAGGACATTAGGTTCCCCCTTATTATAATTTAGGGCCCCCACCCACCGCTCAGGAGTGGGGGCCAGGGAGGAGGCCAATAGGTCCCCCCCATTATTTTACATTAGGACCCCCACCCACCGTTTAGGGGTGGGGGGCAGGGGGAAGGACATTAGGTCCCCCCCTTATTTTACTGTAGGGCCCCCACCCACCGCTCAGGGGTGGGGGCCAGGGGGAGGACATTAGGTCCCCTCCCTTATTAGTATTTAGGGCCCCCACCTGCCGTTCAGGGGTGGGGGCCAGGAGGAGGACATTAGGTCCCCTCCCTTATTAGTATTTAGGGCCCCCACCCACTGCTCAGGGGTTGGGGCCAGGGGGGATGTCAATAGGTCCCCCCCATTATTTTACATTAGGGCCCCCACCTGCCGCTCAGGGGTGGGGGGCGGGGGGCAATAGGCTTGGGAGGGGGGACCTTTTTTTTTTTTTTTAGGCCCCTCCTTATTAGTATTTAGGGCCCCCACCCGCTGTTTAGGGGTGGGGGCCGGGGGGGCAATAGGTTCCCCCCTTCAGGTTAGAAGCCCACATTCGAGCGGCACGGGTGGGGACTCGTGAGGGGGGTAGGCTGCTCACTGTTTAATAGATATGCTCCTACTCGCAGTATAGCGAGTAGGGGCATAATTTACTAATACTAAGTAACCTTTACTTAGTATTAGCAAATTTGTCTAAAAGACCAATTTAGGTCTTTCAGCCTTTTAGTAGATAGCTCCCTAATACTGTGGGAATTAAGGAGTTATCTACTTATTAATTCCTGTCATTACATTGACTGGCTAAGTAACTTACATTTTATATGAATGTATGTTACCTGATTGTTGTAAGTATTGCAAATGCTTACAGCTGAATCCTGGCTATATTTGTATACTTTTTATTTAAAATTGTATACAATGTAACATTCTTCTTCTTTCGCTGGGTAAGTATATTAGTACTTAGGCAATACTGTGCTTCGGCACTCTGGCACTTCGACACTTCGGAAATTCGGTAATTTCGGAACTTCGGGACCTCAGCAATTCGGCAATTCAGACATTTAGAAGTACCCGAATGTCCGAACTGCCCGAAATTCAGACGAATTCATATTCGGACCGAAACGAATTGCGCATGTCTAGGTATCATACACAATACCACAAACTTCTCATGAACATATACAATATAACAGCCTACATACAAATACAACGCTACAAAGCAACTCCGGCACCCATAAATAACACAAGCAGAATACGGCAACATACACACTTCAGTTTTAAAAAAAAAATAGGACTGGCACAGCAAGAGACTTTAAGATTTTGTTCTGGCACAATATGACTAAAAGGTTGGTATAGTGTATCATATCCCCTATAAGGCACCTTTTTTTTCTAGCCTTTCCTTCTTTTTTAACAGTTTTTCTAGCTTTTTCTTAACAGCTCCTATTTGGAAGCCAGCTTCATGATGAACCTTTGGCTGCTCTGTGTTTCATCCAGGACTGTTGCCTTGACACACATCAGGCTCAAACCTCATTCCTTCCAGTTGGTGCACACTCTCTGGGTGCTGAATTTTGGTTGTAATCCTCCATTAATTATGAGTAATTTTGATGCTTGATATCCATGGTGTCCAGCAGTTCTCTTGTCCTGGTTATTATCCCAGTTATTTAACTGAGGACTGGTGGGACACATGTTTTGATGGCCTAGGACTTGTTCTTGCCATTGAGCTGGAACTTCAGAACCTGTCTGACTCTCTGGAGGCACTTGGATGTTGCTGTCCCCAGGTACTTGTAGCTGCACTCCAGGTCTCCTTTTTGGTCTTCTGGCACTTCAGCTCCTCCAGTCCTGATCACCATCCCTCTTTTTTATATAATCCGCCCACTTATCTAGTCCAAACGACATTCCAATGGTTTTGCTGTATATCCTAGTTAGGTGGATCAGTGAGTTCATGTCTCGCTCATTCTTTTTTCACAGCTTTATGTTGTCCATATAGAGGTTGTTGATTGTGGTGACATTCTTGAACCTTTATCAGTATCTACTCTTCATGTTGGAAAAAAGGAGAAGAGGAGACCAAAGTGGGTAGACTAAAAAAAGTACTAACCCAGAATGGTCCCAATACCCATAATCAAGACAAGCTCCACAAATATAAAGCAAAGAGTTACTAGTAATGGAGCACTATAAGAACTAAAACAATTCAATTTTAATGAACCCTCTTGAGGGAGCCCAATGAATTAATAACAAATGGGAAAAATGTTCCACTGGGGAACATTTTTCCCATTTGTTATATATAGATTGGGCTCCCTCGAGAGCGTTCATTAAAATTTAATTGTTTTAGTTCTTATAGTGCTCCATTACTAGTAACTCTTTGCTTTATATTAGTGGAGCTTGTCTTGATTCTGGGTATTGGGACCATTCTGGGTTAGTACTTTTTTTAGTCTACCCACTTTGGTCTCCTCTTCTCCTTTTTCCTATTATTACATTTGGGTTATGCCCTAAATACCCTACAACCATTACAACCTAGGTGTTTGGTCTTTTTTTTTGGATCACTCACTCTGGCTGTATTTTTTCTTATACTCTTCATGATGACCTGTTTGAGGGGGTTGAGTGTGTCTGCTTGGTATAAGCCACATTTGATGTTCATTTGTGTAATTGTCCTGGATTTGGCTTCTAGTGTTGCTCTCCAGTTGCACATCATGTTCTTGATAAAAGATCTTGACCTTGTATAGACATGCATTCCAGTATCCATATGTGCAACATTGATTCATAGGCTATATTGTGGCTAATCCAGGCATGCGTGGTCCTTGGTCTGCCAGCTGGTGTTTTGAGCCTAGATGTTGTTTCCAATCCTATTCCCATTCACTCTTGTGTCCATCGATCTTGGAGGCTATGACACCTGACAAGACCTGCACTGTTGTTGGGAAGCAGGTGATTATTTGGCAGTTAGATTATGTTGTAAGGTTCCTCCTGATTAGTAATGTTACATCGTCTGTAAGACAGTCATGATGGGAGCCTGTTGCTAGTAGGTGCTAGGCACTAATGCAACATTGTTAGTTTGTTTATCTATTAGGAGTGGATCATATCAGGCCCTGGTGCTGACCAACTCGTCATGTGGCCTACTCATTGTTGGATTTGACTGGTTCCTGTTCTGGGAGTGTGCAGTGGTTTAGCAGCCACAGGGACTTGGTGTTATGTGATGGTTCTGGCTCCCAGACATTTTTCATTGTTCTGTCTTGGCTATGTGTGGGTCTAGTGTGTTGTTACACTGCAGCTTTGCATACACCTTGGATGGTTCTATAAAAACAGGGCATTTCTTATATAAGTCTTTGCTTCTGTCATGTATCTTCTCAGTTTGGTTTTCAGTCCAGTCAACTTGCTTTGCTGTCCCCCTCCTTACATAGTGTCAATCGCCAGAATCTATCCTTGACCTTTCCACCAGTAAAAACTGATCCAACTTATTATCGTCTTTATATGTTCACTTTATCTTGGCTTACAGTCTTAGTCTCCATGGTGGGCAGTTTCTTTTTTGGCTTTATTTTATAGTCAAACGTTTCGAGAACCACTAATGATGTGACATATATGAGCTTGTTGGTCTCTGCGATGGTGTCAGATGAGATTCTACATAGTACCTTATTAACGGCTGTTAGCATACTGCCTGGTTTCTGTTTTTCAGTGAGTTTTGGTAGTCTTGTCTTGTTGTCAAATACTGCTAGATTTTCTATGATCTCTCTTATAGTACTAGCACGATATTTAGCATACCGCAATACAAAAATAAAGTGGCTCGCTCCTCCTTTTCCTACAGAGCACCGCAGTTATGGAATAACCTCAGGGACACCGTCAAGTCTTCATTCAATCTAAAATCTTTTAAGAGATTTATGGCAATATACCTCAGCACAGAATGCACCTGTCATGGTTGAATATATGTATTACCTGTTATGTATTACATTTATATATGTGTGTTTATATATAGTTTGTATATTGTATTTTTGTAATATTGTATCCTATTGTAACAATGCAATGTTTTATGGACAAAGACCCAGGACATACTTGAAAACAAGAGAAATCTCAATGTATCCATCCTGGTAAAATATTTTATAAATAAATAAATCTGCATAGTTATACCATCTTGTGGCACAGATGCAGACTGGCAACCCTCTGTAGGTACCATGTTTCTTCTTCCTTGTGGATCATCCATGTTCATTAGTGTAGTCCATCTAATTCTGGTTGTGACACTAGTTTCCTCTAGTCTCACTCAAACATTGAGTCTCTAGCTGTTTTGAGCTTTGATAGGAAGAGAGACAGAGTCAAACCTAGGTTGGATAAAAAGAGACATAAAATTAGGTGAGGGTGTCAGGCCACTTGGGACAGGCATAGTCAGGTCTGTTGGACAAGCTGGGCACCAGTCCCAGGCCCTGTAGGTGTAAGTGCCACATTTAAGATTCTCTCTTTGCTTATCAGAATGCATTGGCATATTCAACCAGTTTAATTTTCAGAGTCTGTAAATTAATGCTCAGAGTATCTGGGTGAATAGACAATTTGGAAAAGGTTATCAGGGAGTTCTAATTTTCTGTGAACATTTTACAAGTTGTATGCAAGATAAAAAGCAAAACAAAAACAATCTGCGTGTGGAATACAATGTTTGAAGGTAGGCTCCTGTGCTGTGAAATCCCTGTGTCTTTCAATTCAGTATAGACCAGCCTAGCTACCATTACCAATATTAATTATTTGATTTCACTAGATTTAAAAGTTTAAGATTCCAATTGAAGGTTGTATGATCACTAGTCTACATATACCTCCAAGATGAAGAAGACATATAAACAAAACAAAACAAAACAAAAATGAGTGTTTAATGAGGTAATTGAAAACTCCAGAATATTTTTATTTCTGAAACCTTAGTCTGTCTCCCTTAACTTGCTAATACCAAAGAGGCATGCTGTATTTTCTCAATTTGGGATGCTTTTTAGTTTGCTGTTCTCCAGTTTCCTATTTCAGCTTGTAGTACTGTGAATACGGAACAAGGCGATATTTCACAATTCTGGACACTAAAGGTACAGATTTAGCTATTTGCACATCCCATCTGCCCTCTTGTGCAATAACTAGCTCTGCCTTTTCTGTACTGCATACATGGTTGCTTATATATTCTTTATATTGAGCAGCACATAGTTATGGCTGGTATACAACAGAACAGCATGATGACTGAGACAGTAAGTATGATGTATATTGTACAATGGCATATAGCTCAGAGCATGTCTTTATTATGATCAGATACATGAAAGAAAATTTCATTTATAATCTAGTTCCAGTGTTATGTTATTCTAAATGACTTTCCTGACCCAGATTACAGGAAACACTCAGGTAGCATTACCTTTGCATAGTATACTTTAATGTGATTTTTATTGTTTTGTTTTGTTTGTTTTTTGCTTATTGTGGACTTGTGCTGGGTCACTGTTGTGTGCATACATTAAAAAATTTCTTATTGAGCTGTATTGGTTTTGGTGGGGGTTTATGCACAGAAATCTAAGTAATTACATAGTTCACCAAAGTACAGGTAAGGCATAAAACACACACCACATCACTCCAGGAGATCCGCACTCACTGTGATCCATGTAATATCCACTAGTTAAATCGTAAATATTGAATATTACATGGATGACAGTGATTGCGGACCTTCTGGAGTGATGTGTTGATGTTTTCATATTGGATCAGTCCAGCACCAGTACACTGCCCATGGAAACAGTATAACCAATTAGGTGGCCATGAGATTTTGATTTTCTTTTCTGCAGGGGTGTTATCCCCTTTTGGATCGGGGTTGCAGCAATAAGATTTTTTACAGGGGATTTCTCCTGGAGTTTTGCTTAATTTATTATTCATAAAGCACACACACTAAACTATGAAAGTGAAATAGAGTACCTACAATTTATCACTGTGCCAGTATGGGTGATTTCTCTTTTTCACCAAACAGGAGTAATCACTAAACATCAGATTTTGTTCAGATGTACAAAGTCCAAGAAGATGACCACATTCCGGCCACAAAGTCAATTCTCATATTTACTAAAGTTAAATGCAGTCAAAATTTGGTCAGCAGGGCAGATAGTTAAATACCCTTAGCAATGCCTAGGGCTACTTAAGTGGTAGCTGGCCAGCACTTGCTAGACAGACAGCGCATAAAAAAAAAGTTAAAATAAATAATAAAACCTATTGGGGTCAAGTCTTGAGACTCGAGTGAAAGTTTTGAGTCAGAGCACACTTGAAAGCCAAACTATGAGAGCACCCTAGTGATAATTCAAAGGCTTTTTCGCTTTGAAGCCTCATTCTGCACAGAGCCCTCGCAGGACAAAGATGGTTTTATTTTGTTTTTTTTGGGGGGGGGGGTTTATGACCTTTTTGCGGGGCTTAAGATAAGAACATTTACAAGAAGGAAAACTTCAGACCATAAGTATAATTTCTTTTTTTCACAGATATTAGTTTCAATACCCAAACCTCACTATTATTAGGGTGGGTTGTTTATCATTTTAAGGTGGTGGCTAACGCATTGGAGTTCCCTAGACACTAGGAACTTTTTTGAGGTGTGCACAATGGCATGTCCAATCCCCCATTGCATAAATCTTCTGTCGCTAGTGAGTCCCCCCAGTATATTAGTATTAGAACCCTCATCCACCATCAGTGAGGAACATAAGGTCCCTCCCTTAATATTATACTAGCCTCCATCACATTGGGGGGATACAAGGATGTAGCCCCATTTTTAAAATTTTTATTGGCCCTACCTGTCCACCGTCATTTCTTTTTAATTTAAAATCTCTGACCTGAGGACCATGGGTAGGGTTGTAGGTCCACCCTTTTATGAGACCTTTAAATGGCTGCCCAGTCGCTAGTTTTAAAGATTTACTAGATATGCAGAAGGTGGGGGGACAGAAAGTTTTAAAACCTGCTCTATATCAATATGGGGATCTTATTGACCCCCTAGGTGCACCATGGTTTTTAATTATTTGCTCGCTGACTGCTAGCACAGGCAAATAAATGATAATTTGCAAATGTGCATCTGATTCACTGGATGCATTTGGTTCCAAATTTTGATATCTGTCAAAATCGGTGCTTCATAAATCCTCAGAATCCTACATTTTCTATAGGATTCGGATGCAAAAGCATGGATTGCAATCCAGATACCAAACACGTCTGGGGTGATTATTGCAGATTCGCTCGGCCGGACCTAATTTAGACTGTATTTAACTTGAGTAAATATGAGAATTACCATTGCAATTTTGGGGATTTTTACTGGACTTTTTCCATCCAGACAAAATTTGGTATTTAGTGAATAATAATTTAAGGTTTGAGTAGCCCAACTAAAAGCATAGCTGATTTAGAGATTGTTTCCAGTTCAGCAATTTTGACTTTTAAATTTGAAACTTACTTTGAATTCACTTTCAATTCTTACTTTAGTAAACAGAAACTCAAGTCAGCCAAGGTTGAGACAGTAGCTAACTGGCCCCATCCCCACACTAAGAGCCAGGTGCTGGCCTTCCTAGGGACTGCTGGCTATTACAGGAAATGTGTCACCAATTACAGAGCCATCACCAAACCCCTCACCGACCTGACCCAAAAGAATCTGCCCAGTCAGGTAAACTGGGCCCCAGGGCAGGGCTGCCATCAGGGTGTGACAACCGTGACGGTTGTCACGGGCCCGGTGGCCCTGAGGGGCCCGGACTGCTCTGGCAGTCCTGGGCCCCATTTTCTTTTTCTGCACACATAGATAGCGAATATCACTATGTATGTGTGCAGCCGCGGGCCCCCTGGCTCCCTGTTACCGCAGAGGGGGCCCAGCACACAGCTTCTCCTCCTGTCTTCTCTCTTCTCATAACTCTCGTGAGACCCGCGGAGCATTGCCATGGTAACCGGGTCTCGCGAGAGTTATTAGAAGAGAGAAGAAGCTGTGTGCTGCCTGGGCCCCCTCTGCGGTAACAGGGAGCCGGGGGGCCCCCCAACCGGACCACCACAGATGGAATCTCCCCCCTCCCTGGACACAGGTAAGCAGTGGGAATATCATTTAATTAATTTAATAGAAAATTAATGTTACAATGCCCCTTCCTCCCCCTACCCCCCCAGATCACACATTTACACACACACTGCATACACTAACACAACACACACTGCATACACTAACACAACACACACACACTGCATACACTAACACAACACACACACACACACACACACTGCATACACTAACAAAACACACACACACTGCATACACTAACACAACACACACACTGCATTCACTAACACACACACTGCATACACTAACACAACACACACTGCATACACTAACACAACACACACACACACTGCATACACTAAAACACACACACACTGCATACACTAAAACACACACGCACTGCATACACTAACTGTGCTTTGTCATGGGCCCCAACATTTCTGATGGCGGAACTACCCCAGGGTGTGAGCAGGCGTTCCAAGCCCTTAAGAATGGCCTGATACATGCCCCTGTAATAGCTGCTCCTAATCCACACAAACCGTTTCTCATAAACACAGATGCTTCTATGTTTGGATTAGGAGCGGGGCTGAGCCAGGTACGGGACAATGGTGAGAACAACCGGTAGCTTACCTCAGTAGGAAACTACTACCCAGGGAGGTGAGTTACGCCATCATCGAGAAGGAGTGCCCGGCAGTGGTGTGGACACTCAAGAAGCTGCAGCCCTACATCTATGGACTGCAATTCACCATTCTCACAGGTCACAACCCGTTGGTATGGCTTAACCGGGTCACGGTTGACAATGTCAGGCTGTTGCAATGGAGCCTGGCACTTCAACCCTATGTTTTCACCATCCACTACAGACCCGGTAAGCAAAACAGGAATGCTGATGGGTTGTCAAGACAGAACTGGAGAACTGATCTGTGAGCCCTCCCCCGGACATCCTCAAGCTGATCTGTTGGGATCAGAATGTGTATGCCGGCTTGTGGTTAAGGGAGAGCTGTGATGTGAAACTGCTGCCGTTCCTACATTTCCCCTCTCTTTACTATGTGTGTTGCCCTATGTGTTAGCGTATTCACCTCCCGAACAGGGACCACCCTAATGGCCCATTTAGAACGCTTGTCAACTGGAATGTTTGCACCCTGATATAGTGCCATAACCACAAGGGAAGCCTTGGCGCGTATCCCACCAGGGTGGCCGCCCTTTCGTATAGACAAACGCTATCCAGGGGGAGCATTCGTTAATTGCTTCCCTCTTCATTAATTTTACCAAACGAGGACCACCCCGGTGCCCCATTGGAATGTTCACACCAATCAATTAGAATGTTAACTCTCGCAACATAACTGTGAAACCGCAAGGGAAGTAATCAATGAATGCTTCCCTGGGTGGCCGCCATTCGTACAGACGAACACCAACCAGAGGGAGCATTCGTGTCCCAAAAGAAGACGCTTCCCTTGCCTGATTTCACACAGGGACCCCCCGAACAGAGGCTGTTCAAGCCAGGTACTGTTGTAGAGGTCCTTGAGGTTGGTGTAGGCACCTTTTGGGGGCACAGGCTAGTTTGGCGGGCTTTCTGTGCCTGGAGGACAAGGAGGCAGAAGCCTTTTTTCCTGCGCTTTGACTTTCAGATACAGAGGCTCCTGGGATGAAGACCCCTTTTACATCTGAAGCAGGAGACCCTGGATTTGGGTGGTATGAATGGGGAACAAAAGGGAGAGAAGTCCCTTTCCCCCTGGGAGGGGAAGGACCCTGGGATGGGGCCCTGTTGGTGTGTGTTGGAGACCCCTTGCATGGGATTATGTATAAAATAGTGTTGTACCTCCAGAACTAGGTATTGTCCAGTTACTGGGGGAAAATGGGTCTCTGTGTCTGCTAATGGATCCGGAACGACTGAGGGAAGAACCGTGGTCCGCTACACCTGGTTGTTTAAGTACATAACAAATCTTGATACGCAATAGAATTTGGTTATACTGGCGCAACAGGTACAAACTTTGGCATTTTACAAAAAGGAAATCCAAACCGTAGAAAAAGAAGCTGCACTGATGAAGTTTCTCCTGCCATTGTTGAATTTCTCCTTTTGAAATGCCGAGGTTTGTCACTGTTGCATCAGCGGATATTTCCTCCATTGTTTGCAACTAAAGCAAACACAAGTGCTCTTTGAATAACTCCCTTAACCCCTTAAGGATGGCGGGCGTTCTATGCTGTCCTTAAGGATCCGGCTCTAAACGCCGGAGGGAGGCATAGAACGCCCAAACCGTCCTTTCTACTTACCCAGTTGCCGGCAATCCCATGCCGGCGATTGCGGTATGGGGACTCACCTGGGAGCCCAGGGAGTCCCCCTCCGTCCTCTTCAGGCCCCCTGGGCCATGTGATCGCAAGGTCCTTGTGAGGACCTCATGATCACATGGACGGCATAGCCCACAGGGGGAGTGCCTGTAATGACAGGTACTCCCCCTGCTGTCTGAAAAAACAATAAATGTTAAAACAGCGTAAAATTAAATAATATATATTTAGATCTAAGTATATATATATATATATATACACATATACACACATACACATATATACACATACTGTTTACATGTATTTTAATATTAATATATATATATAATTAAAAATATATATTAATATCAAAAAACACGTACAATGATATTGATAAAATATATATATAATTTTCATTATATATATATATATATATGATATAAAATAAATAAATCTGTAAATACGTTAAAAATTAAATTAAAAAATGAATAAAAAATATATATGTGTAAATTCATTCTAACTGTATTTTAAAATTCATATATATATTGATATCAAAATACATGTAGAACGAAATACTATATATATATATATATATATCTATATACATAAGTATATACGTATATATCTCACATATATAATAATTCCACGTATACATTTATATAATAATTTTACATAATTAGGTAATTTTATTAATTATAATTAGCAGGACCAGCCTGACAACCCAGGCCAAAAGTCCAGGGAATTTAATTAGCTAGCACTATATTTGACCATGTAACTTTCCAAGACACCATAAAACCTGTACATGGGGGGTACTGTTTTACTCGGAAGACTTCGCTGAACACAAATATTAGTGTTTCAAAACAGTAACATGTATTTCAACGACGATATTGTCAGTGAAAGTGAATTTTTTTGAATTTTTCACACCCAAATGGCACTTACACTGACAATATAATTGTTGTGATACGTTTTACGATTTTGAAACACTAATATTTGTGTCCAGCAAAGTCTCCCGACTATAACAGTACCCCTCATGTACAGGTTTTATGGTGTTTTTGAAAGGTAGAGCGAAGGATTGCGTTTCAGTTTTTTCACATTGAAATTTGCCAGATTGGTTACATTGCCTTTGAGACCATACGGTAGCCCAGGAATGAGAATTACCTCCATGATGGTGTACCATTTGCAAAAGTAGACAACCCAAGGTATTGCAAATGGGGTATGTCCAGTCTTTTTTAGTAGCCACTTGGTCACAAACACTGGTCAAAGTTCAAATTAGTTTTTTGCATTTTCAAATATTAACACTAACTTTGGCCAGTGTTTGTGACCAAGTGGCTACTAAAAAATGACTGGGCATACCCCATTTGCAATACCTTGGGTTGCCTACTTTTGCAAATGGTATGCCATCATGGGGGTAATTCTCATTCCTGGGCTACCATACGGTCTCAAAGGCAACGTAACCAATCTGGCGATTTTCAAAGTGAAAAAACTGAAAAATGTAACATGCTATATTTGACCCTGTAACTTCCCAAAACACCATAAAACCTGTACATAGGGGGTACTGTTTTACACGTGAGACATCGCTGAATACAAATATGTGTATTATTTTGCAGTAAAATCAAACAGTCTTATGACATTCACTGTTAGAATGTCACATAGAACTAAACATTTTTTTTTTAATTCTTATTTTCACCCATTTTTTTATATTTAATTCATATTAAATTATGTTTTATACCTAAATATTTGATGTTAAATGAAAACCCTGTTTCTCCTGAATAAAATGATATATATGTGTGGGTGCACATAATATGAAAGAGGTGTTTAACCCCTGGCTGTCACTGTGATCACCTCCTGCAGATTGGGTAATTGACCACAGGGGGAGTGCCTGGGTGGTACAAGCACTCCCCCTACCGATCTGCAGGGGGATCATTGCGCCTGTTACATGTATCAGCCATTAAGCTGACACATGTAACACTGATCACAGTGACAGGCTGTCACTGCGATCAGAGAGCTCTGAGATCGCAGTGACAGCCTGTCACTGCGATCAGACAGTGCAGATCGCGGTCACTGACCCCAGGGGGACTGCCTGGGGGGCCAGGTATGTCCTCCAACCGCGATCTGCACAGGGGAAAGCCGCCGGCCACATGTCAGCCGATTTGAAATCGGCTGACACACGGTAAATACTGATCGCAGTGACAGCCTGTCACTGCGATCAGAGACTGCAGATCGCGGTCACCGGCCACAGGGGGGATTGCCTGGGGGGCCAGGCATTCCCCCCGACCGCGATCTGTAGGGGGCGATTAGCGCCGGCCACGTTGGTGGCCATTATAACAAGGGCGTTCTATTACGCCCGCCGGCGTTTAGAGCCAGCTCCTGCAGGGCGTAATAGTACGCCCTACGGATTTAAGGGGTTAATTCCGTTTTTAGTCTGATTTGTTAACTATAGACATGGCACTTTTCTGAATATGTTTGTGTATACATTTATTTATATATATGTTTTTTTTGTTAGGATAATTTAGTGGTTGAAGTTATTAGTGCCACCACAGTAATGACTGTGGTATCTTACAGTCTGTTCCTAGAGTCACCACTGGTAAGGTGAGAAATAGTAAGATTAAATAAGATATGTAATAAGTGAGTAATAAAAGGGTTAGAGAGGTGTCTGATTGATACTTAGGAGACCCTTGTTTCCACTGAGTAAAAAGTCACTAATTCTTGAACTCGGCTAAACCACAACAAAACCAGAGCCAAGTCATAAACATACACTGTGGCGAAACCGGCCTCGCTACGTGTCCTTGGAGGGGGCTGCTTGCCCACCTCTTGCCTTTGGACTATGGACCAGACTTTATGTGAATGTGTTAACCCAGATAGCTATGCCATGGAGCCCATTCGTGTAGTTAAAGACTTCGGCTCCATGGCAATTGAACTGTGTGAATAGGATCTGAGCGCTATTCGGTAGTTTTGTGCGCTCAGATCCCAGCTATCTGGGGATATGTGAAATGTCTGTGTCTTATGTGTAAAAGGTGACTTTATGTATTTTAAAGTGTTTTGTGTCTTTTTGCAACCATGTGCTTAATGGAGTCTTGTGTCTGTCCTGGGAGATAATTGAATTACTTCTCAATTCAATCTCCAGGATAGAAGACTCTGAAACTGGTTTGGGCCGGAAAGCCATGCTTCATTTAGCCACAAAGGACTTTCCCTTAACTTTTGAACCCCTGGTCTGATTCGTGCCATTTTTTAATATGTTGTTCCCCTGAATGGATTGATTATGAAAATGTATGTTTTATGTTTGTGACATGTATATTTTAGAAGTTATAAATGTTGTGTAAAAACTGTATTCCTCTGCCGGTGATAATGAGATTACCCATTGTGTTCAGTAATCATATCACATGCAGAGGGGAGGATTTTGTGTGGGAGTGTCTGGGTGTATTGTACGGATTGATTGGTTGTTTTGTAACGCCCTGTGGGCTGTACTATGTTTGTGGATTGGGAATAAAAGAGACTGTATGTGACAGTACAGAGAGTTCCTGTTTTAACCCTCAAAGTGAAGTGTCGTCTCATTATTGGGGGAAGGATTTATTGTATGCTGTTCCATTTTGACTGCTAGGAGAGTAAACCTATTCGTATGGTTCCTATTCAACTGTCTACGGCATTCACATGCTTGATAGAAGGTATACGCTTCTCTGGTTCGGTGATTGTGGCGTCTGCTGCAGTGCTTGGAGTCCTCAGGAAGCGCTAGGAGCATCTTTCAACGGAGGTACCCAGTCGGGGTGCCAGGCGATCCGTTACATTGGTGGCAAGCGGTGGGATGGCGTCCTAGTGCGAGGTAAAGCAGCTCAGAGACACAGTTCGTGGATTTACAAATTGAAGGCGACGCTAGTGTTCATACAGCGTCCCTGTCTACATAAAGATTTGGGAAAACCAGCACTACTTCAGAGATGGAAGGCCGTGCAGTATCTCACTTTGACGCCAGGCTCCAGCAGCGACTACAGGATGTGATGCACAGTATGGAATATCCTATCCCAGAGGAAAGAGAGACAGAGTGGAGGGTGGCGCTTCGTACCGATCTCTGGAAGGAGGACATCGACGAAATTCGACCTTTCCGGTGCGAGGAAATCCTGACCACTAACCAGCGTCAAGGAGAACAACTAGAGCTATGGATGCCGTTACTGGGAAACCAGCCCTCAGAGGAATGGGTAAGCGAACTGGAGACGCTAGTTGAGACTGAGGTGTGGCTGGATGATTCCTATCGGGCCCTGCGGTGGCATGTTTACCACCTCTACCCATGGCTGATTGAGTACAAGTGTATTGAGGGGGAAGATTACGATGGCCCTGGTTTGTTGTGGGATACTATTGAAACTAGTCTCTGGTTCGGAGACACCGACATTGCTCGCTTCTGGTCCATCCGAGCTGAGCGGGCAGACAACTGGGACCTTACAGAGATCGATGCCATTCAGCCAGATCTATGTTTTCTTGCCAACCGAGAGTGGGAACTAGAACAGGATTATGTTTGCCTATTCCAACGTATAACGCCGCCTGTCTCTGACATGATGGGGCTTATTGACTGTATACCACCGGAAGCATTGAGTTTAGTTCCTCCTCCCCAGCAACCAAGCCTGTTATCAGGAGACCTTGGTACTGTACCACATATGTCCCAACCAGCCCCAGAGATGGAAGACCTTATTGACTTATCCTGGGAAGACACCCAGCTGTAGAGAGGTCTCTCTACAGGCCCTACAGGGATGTTGGGCAGTCAGCCCAGATCCCCAGTGGCAGTATGTATCCCAGGGAGCTGAAGGTGCTGTACTTCCTCCCCAGCGGCAGTGTGTCCTGCAGGAAGCGGAGACAGTCGGTCTCGCTCCCCAGCAGCAGGGCAATATATTAAAAGGGGAGACAGTTGGTCCCCCTCTCCAACAGCAGAGAGTGTTCCAGGGAGAGGAACCGGTTATCACCTCTCCCCAGCAACAGGACAAATTATTGAAAGGGGAGACAGTCGGTCTCCCCCTCCAACAGCAGAGAGAGTGTCAGGGAGAGGAGCTTGTTATCCCCTCTCCCCAGCGGCTGAAAGTATGTATGGGAGAGGAGCTTGTTACCCCCCCTCCCCAGCGGCAGTGTGTACCCCAGGGAGCAGAAGGTGCCGTCCTCCCTCCCCAGCGGCAGTGTGTATCCCAGGGAGCAAAAGGTGTCGTCCTTCCTCCCCAGCGGCAGTGTGTACCCCAGGGAGCTGAAGCTGCCGTCCTTCCTCCCCAGCGGCAGTGTGTACCCCAGGAAGCAGAGACCGTCTGTCTCGCACCCCAGCCACAGGACAAAATATTGAAAGGGGAGACAGTTGGTCCCCCTCTCCACCAGCAAAGAGAGTGTCAGGGAGAGGAGCAGGTTACCCCCTCTCCCCAGCGGCAGTCTACAGTTCAGAGAGAGGCAGCTTGTTACACCCTCTCTCCAGCGGCAGCCTAACCCACCAAGGGGAGATGTTAAGCCCCACAACTATGCAGATGGGACCGTAGTCTCTGCACTTGCAGCACCAGGGGTAGGGACGGTCGGTCCTGTCCCCCAGCCACAGAGCAGTGTATCCAGAGGGGAGACAGTCGGTCTCCCCCTCCCACAACCAGGCTCCAACCAGGCTACTTCAGTGGTAGCGCTGGCACCCGGGCAGAGTACCGCTGGTCTCTGCCCACTCAGCAACCCACCAAGGCAGTCTACCAGCCCCCCGCACAGCCGTGGTGAGGCACCTGGACATGGACAAGTTGCTATTTTATCCAGGTGTAGTAACCAGTTATTGTGGGTGGGCTGTATTGCTGTTTGTGCTTCGTGGGTGGGTTGCTGGACTAACCAGGGCACTGACCGGCAGGAGGTCAGATACCCTGTTAGTCTGGATGGTAAAGGGGAGAAATGTGGCGAAACCGGCCTCGCCACGTGTCCTTGGAGGGGGCTGCTTGCCCGCCTCTTGCCTTTGGACTATGGACCAGATTTTATGTGAATGTGATGTATGGTTTTGGAGTTATGAAAGTTGGGTAGAAAGTATGTTTTAACTGTATGTATAATTGAGTTTCCTCTCAGGATAAGGGGAGGGAATATGTGGGATGTAACTGTGATGTGATTGGTTGTTTTGTAACGCCCTGTGGGCTGTACTATGTTTGTGGATTGGGAATAAAAGAGACTGTATGTGACAGTACAGAGAGTTCCTGTTTTAACCCTCAAAGTGAAGTGTCGTCTCATTATTGGGGGAAGGATTTATTGTATGCTGTTCCAGTTTGACTGCTAGGAGAGTAAACCTATTCGTATGGTTCCTATTCAACTGTCTACAGCATTCATATGCTTGAGAGAAGGTATACGCTTCTCTGGTTCGGTGATTGTGGCGTCTGCTGCAGTGCTTGGAGTCCTCAGGAAGCGCTAGGAGCATCTTTTAACGGAGGTACCCAGTCGGGGTGCCAGGCGATCCGTTACATACACAATTATGTAAAGTCAAAATTAGGCGACAAGAAATAAGAATACAGTACAGTAAAATGTCTAATACTAAATAATCCTATCAAACCTTATACAGCCTCAGTCAGATCCCAATAAACCCCAGGAAAGCCACCCTCCTGCACCCAAAAGGCATGGAAACAGGAGGATAGCTAAACATATTTAAATTATGACTTGTATGTGCTTTTGTATGTGTGTGTGTGTTAGTGTGTGCACATGTGTATATCTGTGTCAATATGTTTGTGTGTGGCAGTGTATGTAGATAATGTCCATATATTCCAGCATTTAAACACTAATATATACCAATATATACACGAACACACCCCTGCATTGAAATACCAATAACAACACTACTGTAATCAAATACCCAAACACAATGTATACAAACACAATACTGCAGTCAAAAACCAACACTACATACAAACACACCCCTGCATTCATACAAAATTGTATACAAACACACTACCTCTTTAACCCCTTAAGGTCCAAACTTCTGGAATAAAAGGGAATCATGACATGTCACACATGTCAAGTGTCCTTAAGGGGTTAAAATGCCAACACCACACACAAATGCACACCTGCATTCGCATACAAATACACCCCTACATTCATACACCAACATTATCAACAAACACACAACTTTTTTCAAATGCCAACACTAAACACAAATGCACACCTGCATTAAAATTTTAACACATACAAACAGATCCCTGCATTCAAACACCAACACTACTACAAAAATGCCCTTGTATCAAAACGCAAACACTACATACAAACACAACCTGCAGTCAACACCAGTGCTACATACAAGCACACCTCTGCATTCAAACACAAATTTTACACATAGAGACACCCTTGCATTCGAATGCCAACAATACAAATACCCAACTGTATTCAGATGACAACAGTTCATACAAACATAAAAAAGCTTTAAAATGCCAATGTTATGCAAGAATATACTCCTACACTAACACACATACTTTACACAAAAACATACTCATATTGAAGCACACAAAAAATGCTCACAGATACAACTCTGCAAGGATGGGCAAAAGGCAGTTAAACAGCTGGAAGAGCATTGTGGTAATTGTAATACAGTGCAGGGCATTTTGGGGCCCTCCTTGTGCTAGAGGATTACCACAAATAATTATTGCATCAGGGCTATATTTATATTAGTTCTGCCACTAGTCAGTGGCATATTACATTTAAGAGATCCTCTAACCTGTGTATCCAAGCTTAAAGGCAAGCTGATGACCTGGGTCTGTAATCAAAATAACTACACATAAGTTAAAAAAATTTTTAAAAAAATATGTATATTTATGTAGCCAGGTGGACGAGGTTGCAAAATTCCAAGTTATTAGAATCCAATTTCTGTATTTCTATGTTTTCAAATTTCCCTTCTTGACATTTATTTTGGGAAACCATCACTTCTGCTTTCACTTCTCTTTATAGAATACAGTGAGTGACATGGTGACTTCACTTAACTATTCTCTGGTGAACTCCACTGAGCTGACGGTGCTTCCATCAGGATCCTTCCTATCTGTTGGAATAGCCATACTCTCTGTAGCATTCATCATTGGATTGCCAGGCAATGCCTTCATCATCTGGACTGTGTTAACTCAGATAAAGAAACCAAACGTTACTTGCACCTTTATCTTACATTTGGCTATAGCAGATACCATGGTAATCCTCACTGGACCAATCTTCATTCACCTTCTGGCCACGGGCAGCTGGATGTTTGGGTCTATCATTTGTAAATTGTGCCATTACATTGGAATTCTTAGCATGTTTGCCAGTGTATTCATCATTACTTTTATGAGTCTAGATCGTTTCTTAGCTGTAGCTATACCCTTTTCTACTAAGACAATGAGAACAAAAATGCATATCAAGACCTTGGTTTTGGCAATATGGCTCTTAGCCTCAGTGTTGGCCATCCCCAGTTTATTTTTTCGCAGTTTGAAGATGAATGGAGACCGACTTCAGTGCATGCTCTCACATAACAATTCTGCACACATTCTCTTTCAATATCTATTTGAGACATTATTTGGATTTCTTATCCCATTCCCAATTATTGTGTTCAGCTACCTCTATATCTGTATACGGTTACGCAGTGCACAGTTCAACAAAAAGCACAAAGCAAGTGGGCTAGTTATTTTAATTGTTGTAACTTTTGCTCTATTCTGGATTCCTTTTCATATTGTTAACATCCTTCAAATTTTAGGAGTGACAACTCCCAACCCCATCACAGCACAAAAGTTCAACATGGCAGTTCGACTTGCTCGTCCAAATGTCACAGCTCTGGTTTTTCTGAGTAGCAGTATTAACCCTTTGCTTTATACATTAGCTGGAGGCTCCTTCATCAGAACTGCAGGAATAAGTTTTATGGCCAAGCTCTTTGAAGGAACCTCCCCAGAGGTCTCCACTTTCCAGAAAGTCACTCAAGTCTTCCGTCAGAAGAATAAAAGTGATTCTATAGATCTAGTGAAGCTTGGGGAACATAAGAGCAAAGATTCCATAGCAATCAGACAGATTAATGGTAATTCTGATGAAAATCTGACTATTACAAAATCATGCAAAAAGAACATTGAACTACCTTGAACCTGTGTTCAACTATAGTAACACTTGGCACAGCCTTTGTACATTTATGCAAATACATCAATGGAACTGTAGCTTTAATGTATGATTGCAGGTACTGGAATTTCAATATAAAACATCCAAAATTTATTGACCACATAGGGTGCTCAAAAACTAATTTTTACATTAAATCATCAAAAGATAGAGAATACCCCCATCAGTGTCAAATCAAAGTGTCCCCCAAAAATATCTACAAAAATCAAAATGTTTAATTTGTCATAGTGATACTTTATCAAGACAAATTGTGCACTGAGACACCCTCAGGGTTATTCACAAAACTCAGAATTGCTCGGAATTCATAGTGATTTTAAAGTGGCTTTCAAATTTAAGTCCAGCATAGCCAAACTAAAAATAGAATTTCTCTAATTTGGCTATTTAGGTTTACATTTTGAAATCCACATTAAAATCCCAGCTATTCTAACTTTAATAAATAGTCCTGCATGCCTAAATAGAGGTAAAATCCCACAACAAACAGGTGGAAATGTAAGGACATCTCCAAATAGTTAAAGGGGCACAACAGGCAATCAAACCTCTTCATATTAATTAAGAAGTCTGCATGCAGTGTCCCTGTCCCCTTAACCCTGCAATGTAAAACACTGCAGCTTTAGAGAAATTGCAATGTTTACATTGCAGGGTTAAGACTGCCTCAAGTAGCTGTTTACTAGACAGCCAGGAAAGGCACTTTCTGCAGTTTCACGGAATTTAACCCTATGAAACAACACTGGTGTCCAGGGTCTTTAAATCCTCCATAGGAAAGCATAGATTCAATGCTATCCCATGGGGAAGGCATAATGAGCGGCTCGCCAAGCATTCAAGTTAGGTTCCCCTTCGCACTGACGTCTGAGAAGATGTAGTCGGAAGCCAGTGGCGAGACAGATCAGCACTGGATACAGGTAAGTGTTTAAAGGGTTTTTTAAGCTATCGATAGCCGTGGGGGCAGGGGTTCACATGGCAGAGGGATACTGCTTTGTATTCCTAACGTTGTAGTGTTCCTTTAACTCTTTTTCAACTGTCAATTTACAAGGTGATGAACATAGTGCTTAGTAAGTAGCACCTTGTAATCAACCCGGTAAATGTTTCAAAGACAGCATACTAAAAAGATAAACAATTTTGCCCTCTAGTCTAGAACATAATACAACAACATAATCACTTTGTGTGCACGCCTTAGTAGTTTAACAGCGGTGTAGATCTTTATCTATATGATGTAATTTTTGGAAGGCAATGCAACTCCCTATGTCACAAAATGTATATTAAAATATAAATGATTTTGAAATCTTGTTAGCTTAATAAAATATGCAGTAAGTGAATACACTGTGTTGATTGAAATTTGAAACCAATGTTTCATCATTCTGTGTCAGTCAAAGCCAGGGGAGGTGTGGCTACGGCTGTATAAACAGAAACAGAAGTGATTTAATTCCTAAATGTCAGTAAATTGAACAGTGCCATTGGTATGATCTATATACACTAAAGCTGAAATATAGGATTCAAGTTATCAATATATCTACACCTGTTTATTACATTTTTACCATGCTGACCTGAGGTTAGACCAGGATGGAGATATTACATGCTGGTCTTCAAAATGCACCAGAGTATTTTTACACTGATTGTTTGTGTGTTTGTTTGTTTGTTTATTTGCTTGCTTTGTGTTGTGTTATTGGTAGAGCCCATATTACACTGGGATACTTTTTTGCAGTATATGATAGATGGAGTCTGTCTGACAAAAGAGTTAATCTCTAACTGTCTAACAATAAGTAATTTAAGCTATATGACTTGTTTGGCACAGAAATTTATTTTTCCTGCATAAAATTGGGTTGAGTGGTTTAGTATTGGAGATCAGTGTACGTGTAAGCCACCTGTTCCTCTACAGCTGTGTTAAACTAAAATTTGCTTGCAAGTTGGCTACCTGCAGTGCCGCCATCAGGGGGTGACAACCATAACGGCCGCCCAGCCCCACATGTAGCGTTGGAACTGCCGCCGGTGGAGCTGCACCGACGCCTGCGTGCTGATGGGGCTGCAATTTATTTTTTAAAGGGTCCCGGTCACGCTATTATACGGTCACAGCGCCGGACAGGCCCCTGAAAGTTCAACATGGCAATTCGACTTGCTCGTCCAAATGTCACAGCTCTGGTTTTTCTGAGTAGCAGTATTAACCCTTTGCTTTATACATTAGCTGGAGGCTCCTTCATCAGAACTGCAGGAATAAGTTTTATGGCCAAGTTGTTTGAAGGAACCTCCCCAGAGGTCTCCACTTTCCAGAAAGTCACTCAAGTCTTCTGTCAGAAGAATAAAAGTGATTCTATAGACCTGGTGAAGCTTGGGGAACATAAGAGCAAAGATTCCATAGCGCTGTGACCGTATAATAGTGCGACCGGGCCCCTTTAAAAACAAATTGCAGCCGCAACGCAAGTGCTCACTCCACTCGAGGGGCGAGGAGTGGGTGGAGGCCTCGAAGAGGGAGAGTCCACCCCAACTGCTATCATCTCCAGCCATCCTTCTGCAAGGAAAAGGTAAGAAACAGGAGGGTGGCTGAAAAATGAGCTGTGTGTGTATGTTTGTCAATATGTATGTCAATGTGCATGTCTGTATGTGTGTCTGTCTGCATTTCTGTCTGTATGTGTATATATGTATGTCAGTATGAACGTATGTCTCTGTGTGTGTGTGTGTGTGTGTGTGTGTGTGTATGTGTGTGTGTGTATGTATGTCAGTCAGTGTCTGTATGTCAGTATGTATGTGTGTGTGTGTGTCTGTATGTCCTTATGCATGTGTGTGTATGTTAGCATGTGTCTGTGTGTCACTATGTATGTCTGTGTGTCTGTATATGTGTGTATGTCTCAGTAGGTGTGTGTCAGTATGTATGCCTATATGTGTGTATGTCTGTTTCAGTATGTGTGTATGTTAGTATGTATGTGTATATTTGTGTGTGTATCTATGTCCTTTTGTATAAGTGTGTGTGTTTGTGTCTATGTGTGTATTACTGTGGGCGGGATTTGGAGGTGGTCCCTGTGGGCGGGTTTGGAGGCGCAGGCCCAGACCCTGAGAGGAGTTAGGGGACCCAAAAATTCTGATGGCTGCCCTGGCTACCTGTAAAGCAATCAACAAAGACAATGTTTCCCTTTTATAAGTTGTGGGATCCTGTTTACCAATTTTCCATGGTCAATGGGTGAGGTTTTAAAAAGTTATATTGCTCACTGGGATATGCTACAACAATTTTAAGGGAAGAGTCCTGGTCCATCTATATGCAGCATGTGAAAGGTGCAAATTAAAAACTGTGGGTTCGCCAGGATATCCATTACTCCCTACCCCAATCCTTTAAGCTGTACATGGGGAGAAATATTAACATACAGAAAGTAAATGGACTTCCCATTCTCTCTTGCTAAAGTCCATTTTCCATATATTCTATTTAAAGGGACACTCTAGGGACCCAGACCACTTCATCTGATTGAAGTGGTCTGTGTGCAGTGTCTCTGTCCCCTTAACCCTACAATATAAAATAATGCAGTTTTCGAGAATCTGCAGTGTTAATTTTGCAGGGTTAAGACTGCCTCTAGAGGCGCTACCTGCATTTACACAGACTTTAACCACACTGGATATCCTCTCACTTTACATGAGGACGTCCAGGGTCTTGAATATCCCTCTAGGAAAGCATTGATTCATTGGTAGGGTAGGAGTGCAAAGGGGTGAGATCACTTATGTTGGCAGAACAAAGTGTAAACCAGTTATGGAGCATATTTCAATAAAATATCAAATCTAGCGGGGCAGAGGAAAAAGAGGAAAACAACTGTGGATGCAAAAAAAAAGTGTCCATCTGAAACAGAGCTTCCTCTCCGCTGCATGTGTGCTCACAAGGGTGTTGTGTGCAGCAGCCTCAAACCACACTTCTAAAAAATAAGAGTGGGAAGTGTGTTGGAACTTGTGTTTTCATGGACTGACTGGCAGCCTTCTGCGCCCCCAGGTAAAATTAGATCCTGGGCCCTTGCAAGACCAAATATTAAGTAAATGTTAAATATAGCTTTCAAAAACACACTGTCAGTGTTATTCTCTTAAGTGAGACTTGTTGAGAAAAGTGAATTTTAAAATATAGGCATAAATAGTTGTATTAGACAAATTCTCCAAGTTAATTATGTTGTACATTTTGATTATTTAGGCATTCTATTTGAAATTCACATTGAATTTCAGGCAATTTTTACTTTATTAAAAAACCCTGTTGTGTGTTCCTTTGTTAGTTTTATAATATCTGTAACGGATCACCTGGCACCCCGACTGAGAACCTCCGTTGATGGATGCTCCTAGTGCTTCCGGAGGGCTCCAAGCACTCCACTTGACACCATAAGCACTGCAGACCCCACAAACCACTGCAGCTTGGTTGGGGTCTCGCCGTCTCCTACCCACCCTGGACCTACAACCAGGCTCCAGTGGGTGAACCTCTCTTCCTTCAGAGAGCGAAGCAGGAACAAGCTCTTAAAAGAGCTTAGTGGTTATAGCCAGGGGAGTATACAGCATATAGCAATCCCCAGTGTAGATGCAGCCTTTTCCCCCCACACATGAGACAAGGCTCTATGTTGAGGGTAAAACAGGAACTCAGCAGTCTGGGGGTTTATTGTCTCTTATATACAGGTTTTTCCACAAGGATCCCACCCACGTGGACCTTGTGAAACACAGGATACAAAGTTACAAAGCCAATCAAAACAGGTTTGTACAGATAGACACTCCCAGATAATGTACACAAACCCTCCCCTCTGCCTGTAATACAATTAACAAACACAATGGACTAACTCAATTACCCACTGGCAGAAAACACACATTTTTCACAAAACACAGAAAACACCCTAAGACACCACATATCCCTATAAATTATACATCCCTGTCACCCTGTCAACAGCCCTGATCTGGTGAAAAACATGTACAAAAATCACCCAGATCAGAGCAGGGGTTCAGGAAATTCCTGGAAGTCATATTTGACCGAC